CGTTATTGGACTTTCCATTGGTTTTGATCGACACAAGAGTACAACTTGAGCCAAGATGGCTACTGACTGTTTCTTGCAGGAGTGTGAAAGATGCCCTATTTATTATAAATAAGCTGAAAGAGAACCATTCGCTACTCACCCTGTCGCCGGAGTAAGCTGGCACGTATTTCGAATTTGTCTACTCTCAAATTGAAGATGGTCCGCCAGAATCAATATGGGCGCAAAACTAGCTGGACAAAAAGCTCAGCTCAAGCCATACACTGGCATTGGTGCCCATCACTATCCCCGGCATGGTGGACTTGGGAGTCAGAGTGTAACATCAATCTTGCCTTGAACATGGACACCTTCATTCCCTGTGAGACCGGACCTTTGAACCTGTCCTCTCTGATAACGACCACGACTACGACTCTGACTGACAGCAGCACTACTACTCCCACTGATGTGCCGTTGGTCACCACTCTGATGAGCGGAGACGTCGACACAGCTTCCTCGAACACCACTTCTTGTCCACACCTACGAGGCGGCGAAAGCTCCAGCGGAAACCAATGGAAACCTCGCCCGATGCCGTTATTGGACTTTCCATTGGTTTTGATCGACACAAGAGTACAACTTGAGCCAAGATGGCTACTGACCTGTTTCTTGCAGGAGTGTGAAAGATGCCCTATTTATTATAAATAAGCTGAAAGAGAACCATTCGCTACTCACCCTGTCGCCGGAGTAAGCTGGCACGTATTTCGAATTTGTCTACTCTCAAATTGAAGATGGTCCGCCAGAATCAATATGGGCGCAAAACTAGCTGGACAAAGAGCTCAGCTCAAGCCATACACTGGCATCGGTGCCCATCACTATCCCCGGCATGGTGGACTTGGGAGTCAGAGTGTAACACCAATCTTGCCTTGAACATGGACACCTTCATTCCCTGTGAGACCGGACCTTTGAACCTGTCCTCTCTGATAACGACCACGAATACGGATCTGACTGACAGCAGCACTACTACTCCCACTGATGTGTCGTCGGTCACCACTCTGATGAGCGGAGACGTCGACACAGCTTCCTCGAACACCACTTCTTGCCCACACTTACGAGGCGGCGAAAGCTCCAGCGGAAACCAATGAAAACCTCGCCCGATGCCGTTATTGGACTTTCCATTGGACTTGATCGACACAACAGTACAACTTGAGCCAAGATGGCTACTGACCTGTTTCTTGCAGGAGTGTGAAAGATGTCCTATTTATTATAAATAAACTGAAAGAGGACCATTCGCTACTCACCCTGTCGCCGGAGAAAGCTGGCACGTATTTCAAATTTGTCTACTCTCAAATTGAAGATGGTCCGCCAGAATCAATATGGGCGCAAAACTAGCGGGACAACAAGCTCAGCTCAAGCCATACACTGGCATCGGTGCCCGTTTCGTAGTCGGCGGGATTATCGCCCATGTCCTTTCTCGGCAATGATCGTTCCAGGCGATGATGGTCTCTTTCGCATATGGACCACTGGTGAACACGCGATCCATGAGCGCAATATAAGCCGTGCTGCTAATAAACGGCGTGTTCTTTCAGACGAGGTAAAAAAGATCATCGATGATCTCGTACTAGGCCAAGGCACCGCTAAAGGAACTCTCAAGCTTATATTGGAACGGAAGCTCTTCCCGGAGGGAATGACTGTGAAGCAACTCACTGCGGCAATTTCCCGGAGAAGGCACGTGATCATGAAGTTTGATCCCGCCCGCCCACAACCCTCTGGTGCGGCTCCTTTCGAAGTTAGAGATTTCCTCGAATCGAGGACTGGCGTGCCAGACTCAATGGATGAGGCTTTTCGTATCTCATACAAGATTAATCCCGACTCGCATCTAGTGTATGCTTATCTTACTACCAAGGCTCTTGGTCCGAGAGGTTAATTCTTCTGGGTGGCACAGCACCGGCGATAGCGGCTGACCATACATTTCAAATTTCGTGGCTACCACTACCCTCCCTTGTCGTTGGTGCCGTGAATAAAAGCTCTGAGTTCGATTTACTCATAGCCGGTTTTTGGGTGAAGGAAGATGGCAGTAGTATAGCACCCGCATAATGCGGACCGCATTCAAAGCTGCTCTGCGACGACTATGTTCTTCTCTCACTCTAGACCATAAACCAGTTGCTTTTCTTGGTGATTCATCATCATCCCTATCTCGTGCCTTCCGATCTGTAATAGCCATTCCAAGCTTTAGCAATGCATCATGTGTCTCAGGCGTATGGAAATCTAAGTCCATTCAGACTCTATAAATCCCTCCGTTGGCCAAGTGACAATTCGAGCTCCGATGCTCCTTTACGAGTGAGAATATTCTGCTTCGTACATCTCTGGCGAAAAAACCTTACGCCTTATAAATAAAGATCTGGATGGGGCATCTGACGAAGACGTGTTGGATGTCCGAAACAAATTCAAAGAAGATGTAAGAACATTACAGATATGTCCGATTAACAATTGTTCTCCATCGCTGCCCGGCTAATGTGCGAGGCATGGAAGGGGGACTTCCCCAGGTTGATTTCTTATTTTTAGCGAAATTGGCTTTCTTGAATTTTCGACTACGTTAGTGGAACCAACACTCTTTCCTGGTCGTTACTGACGGGGTTCGGCGCCTTTGAGAGGTATGCAGGGCGTGAATGTAGTGGAAGTAGTTAGCAGTGGGAGTGTTACATGGAGAAGTATCATAAAGTGAGCTCGCCAGATCTGTCATGCAGCTCCCAAAGTGTCCTGGCGAGCATAGGGCCGATGCCATGAAAATGAGTCTTCCGGACGAAGAGGCCCGAGGAAGATCCACTGTAGTCGATGATCTTGTACAGTACTCAACCTGCTTTGCTCTGGAGTTCTGCGAGTCCCAGTTCCGTAAGTTATACTGCCCTCGGGGGGGTGAAACCACCAGGCTCGTAGTAGAGATGCGAGTGAAGTTCAAGTCCCACTGCTCACTGGACGAGTCGCAACGAACCAGAGAACCAACTCATAACGATACACAATTGTGAACCACCAACTCGAGTTTAGAAGAATCTACGGCCTTTCAAAACTGAGTCAAATTAGAGCCAAACCCTTGAGCCATTTGGTTGAACCAGAACCAGTAAAAAGGAGTCGAGCGCAGAACCTGACGTCCTCACGATGAAGATTATCCTTAGAAGGCCAAAAAGTCTTTGCCGGGCAATCTGCCCCACTCTAATGTACTCTACGTATTCCTCGGAGGAATTTCCTCCTATGCTCACCTGCGACACCGAACATTCCACAGCAGAACCTAACATGCAATGGTAACTCACTATAGAATAAACACAACTACAGCCGAGCTTATCCCTACGAAACTGCTTATTCAATAACGTGATTACTGATACCCGATACGAATGATGCAGACACTCGAGCAGTTAGAGCACTCGGTTGCGGATATCCTCCAACTTCTTCATCACTTCTTGAGGGGTCTTGTCCATGTCCACAGCAATTTGTCGCTGCTTCTCAGCCGGGAGTTGGTAATATCTAAGAATACCAATACTCCGTGTATTAGCTCGCTGTTGAGATACGAGAGAAGTGGTTTACTTACACTTCGCACAGGTCAGCATCAACGAAGTTCTTTATAGGGTGGTAGAAAGAACGATACATAACATGTTCTCTTCCGGTAAGGCTAGGTGAAGCCGCTGTATTGCGCATGTGCATTTCCAATGCCTGATCACGACCGTCACACTTTCAAGTAAACGACAGCAGCAGCAGAAGACGAGCCTCACCTGTAAGAAGCCATGTTCCCTCTTGGACGAGAAGGGATAAAGAGCTCCAATGGTGCCAAGAACAGTGGAGTAAATGACGATCTCCGCTCCGCCTGCTACCATCGTAACCTGAGGGAACTCGAGTCACTAGGGCGTACAGGAACTTGGCTCACCCTCTGGAGAGAAGTGATAGTCTCTCCCACATGGAAATGACCAATCAAGTCCATCTGAAATCAGCAACAGTACCATCCACCACGACTACGTACCTCATATACTCACCTTAAACGTATTCCCAGATGCATAGTCGTTGTCTCTGCCAGGCACCAACCTCAAAGTCGACACACCTTCCGCCTCAACAATTGGCCTGAGCAACAGGAAGACATCATCCAACTTGAGCACCAAATAAAAAATAGAGTACGTACCTTCCCCAAGCACCAGCATCCTTGGCATCCCCCGGAACTCGCAGGACAGCGATGTTATCAAACTTGTCTCCAACGACTATCGTCTGAGAGCACACCGTTGTAAAAAGCGCGCGCCCAATAACAATGCTCACATTATAATCAAGAACAGCAGCCGCCGTAATGCACCTCGGATAAGTATCATCCGAGATAACCTGAGAGAGTCGTCATAGCATGTGGGTTCCTTTCCCCAGATTTCGGCTCACCTGCATTTGATTGTCGCTGTATCGCCACCTCAAGACTAGAATACTGTCGCGGCTATCAGCGGCGAAGATGCGATCCTTGTTCACATCGAGCCACATGATTCCACCCGACTCCGGCAAGAACTTGTATTCACACTTCTTCAACAGACGTTTCTTACCCAACTCGTAAATGCTAATGCCAAACGATGCAGTCCAGACGGAACAAACCAATACACACTTACCGCAAGACGGGCGCGACAGTCGGCGATCCACGCAAGGCCACCAGCAGCCGACCCTCGAATGGGTACATCGCAGAAGGAACACCTGACCGATGCCTTATATCACTGTTGCTTATGGTAGAGCCTACCTTCCAAAGGCGTTACATGGATGAGCTGCAAGTTGTAGCTCTCATCATAAAGATACGTTTTGATGTAACATTTGCCGTGCGCAGATCTCGACGGGTTATGAGGGTCCACACCAGTGGCAGTGCCCACGACCAGACATGGCCGGTTATCCTAAAAACAACACGCTCAAAGATATTTCACTGCCACCGGCGTCCAGTCACCTTCAACTGATAGAAGTAGCATACCGTCATAGCAGTAGCGGCTTCGTCCACATCCAAGTCTAATTTAAAGGAGGTCGACGCCGTAAGTGGGTCCACTACTCGAATGCACGAGCCCCACTTGCCCTGTCCAGCGATATAGGTACCAACCTGACAGTCATCACAATTCAGCGTCACTCACACAAGACTGTTTACTTGGCTTTCCGGCGGAGGGTCCATATCCGCATCTTCCTCCTCTCCTGCATCCACCTTGATCTTCCTAAGAGCATCCCTAATCTCAGTCTTCGTTTCCTCATTGTATCTACCATTAGCACGCTATAAACCAGAGTCGGGTCTCCACCGGGCAATCCTACGTATTGTGGTCGGACTCCATCACGGCCAGCATGATCCTGTTGTCCATCTGAGCCGCATCCATTTGGCCCGACAACAGCCTGGGCGGCGGCAACGGCAAAAACTTCCTCCCAGTGTAGGACAGCGGCACCATCACCTATCACGACCAAGATTGGCTTTCCCCAGCTGAATTGAAAAGTTTCCTCACGTATATGCACGAACCAGTAGGAAATTCACAAAATTTCTTCAGAATTTTTACACTGTCACCGACACATGTGCGTATTTTCCCACACCGACCACGACGCTGACCTTCGTTCGCCAACCGTCAAGACCATCCCACCTGATTGAACGTCTCGTTCAGCCTCTCCACACTGACGATCCTCAACACACGCTGACTCGTTGTGCATATACCCTCCTGGCAGTTCTCAATACTGAAGGGCGCTGCATGGTCGAAGCGAGGCAAGGCCGGTATCTTGCTGCTTCCGGGAGCATCCTCATCCTCGGCAGCAGCGAATCTGCAAAAGCACCAACATGTTAAGCCCCGAGCTCCATAACCACTTACGTGAGTGGCACACACTGGTACTGTCCCCCAGAGGCCCCAGCTGCTGAGTAGTCGTTAGCTTGGAAGCAAAGGAAAGGCCTCGAGCTCATTGCCACCATCGCGGGCCGTCCACCATCTACCGTAATAGGGCAAAGAGTAACCTAAAGGGACAAAGCCTAAACTTGATCCCACCACGTTAGTCACCAACCCGTCGTGGGCCCAACACCCTCTGCCTCTGGTCCGACAGCTGGCCCGTCACGCCATCAACAACCGAACGAACCAAGACCCCGTCTTCGAGACCAATAGCGAGGTAAATCGTAGCCGTCGTGCCCTCGCCAAACTGCAGCATGCACACCGACGAGGCAGTAGTCCTCAACGCCTGGGCGGCCAGCTGACGCAGTGGACGGTCCGAATCGAGGGAAAGGACGCGAACCGAGGAATCCACTCCTGCTACTGCCATAAACTGGCTCCGAGTTCGACCAGATGACAATGGTTGAACCGTCAAGGCCGCCACTTCACACCCAATGTCGCGTTTGGCAACCTCACTGAGATGACCATTAGTATCAGCATCAAGCTCAAAGAGTTGTATTTCTCCTCCCGAGAGAGCAATGACAACTTGCGAGCCGTTGCTAGCGGCCATAGTAACCTGCCGGCCCGGCGGGGCCCTCCACTCCGTGGTCCTTCTGCCTGCCGCGACATGACGTATACCCGTGGGCATAACCTAAAGAGAAGCCTCTCAGTCGATCATCGAACCAGCCCGACAGTAGCCCCACCTGGATAGCGCTCTTATCCTGCATCCTCATTGCGAAGAGGGTCGGCTGCTCCTTAGCAAACCCCGAGTCAGTAACCTCATGAATGTTATCAGAAGTCACCAACAAGGTCAGCGTCTGGTCCACGAACGACACGACGATGTAGCGGTCAGACTCCACCTCTCCCTCTGCCACCGGTGCGTAGCTAGCCCCGAAGGGCTTAATCGTGAACAGTGCATTAGGCTGTCCAGGCAGTTCTGAGGCCCCCGCCTCCCCGAGGGTCAGACCATGCCTCAGTATCCTCAACGCTGAGCGTGGCCCCCGACCCGACAGGGCGTAAATTTGACACCCCACGGACATCCCAGTGGTCACCGTCTGCTGCATACCACTGCCGTCAGCTTGCAGCACTTGCGTCTGCGTGCTGAAGCAGTCCATGACCTTCATATCCGTGATAGGGGCCAGACTGCTGAGCTCATCGAAAGGCGTCAAATTCTTCAACGTTCTCGGCTTGAACGCCACCACCGCATTCTCCCTATTAGGATGAGACGATGTCACCAACGCCGGGGTAACATCGCCCAAGCTGGCGAATTGATAAAGGGCGTGGTTGCCGAACTCCGAAGCGGCAAAGAGGAAGCCGGTCTTCAGCACACAGATCGAGATGGCAACTGGGATCGAGTCGAAGTAACTACAAGAAGAGACCCTTGAGGGCCCCCAGGGGTGAACCCGTCATAGCCCACCTGCACTGTATTTCCGATACTACTCCTTCCTTATGGGAAAGAGTAACCTTATAGAGATCTCCATACTCGGATTGGATGAGGAAAAAGAAGAAATTCTTCAGCTTATGCCGACTCCAACAGACCACCATAAGGCCCTTCTCAGCAGGAGTATCCAACCTCCTCGGCATGGCACACGACAATACAGGATGACCCTAAACGATGACACTACTTTACTACTACTACTACTACTACTACTACTACTACTACTACTACTACTACCACTACTACTACTACTACTACTAGTACTACTACTAGTACTACTACTACTACTACTACTACTACTACCACTACTACTACTACTACTACCACTACTACTACTACTACTACTACTACTACTACTACTACTACTACCACCGCTCACCTGTTTGTAATACGACAAGAAGTTCTCACAGCAGAGCAGGACACCACCAGGCCCATCGGTGCCCCCAGGTACAGGGATGAGGTCATGGGCCGTGAAGGGGATCTTATCACTGTGTTTTCTAGTTACCTAACACATAAGACCGTTCCATTGGAAGCCTATAGGCCTTAGCCCTACATGATTCACTCCGAGGTCCATCTCGTATATAGTCAGCAACTTCTGCGGGTTAGGGCCTTTTTTCCCAAAGTCATCGTACCTGATAATCGGCCCTACCACTCCTCATCGAACTTCCTTCAACCTACTGGCACTCGATAGCAGCGAATTGTGGGTTGTCAAAGCCAACGTCCAGGCCGACCGTGGCAAACACGATAGTGTAGCTCTTGTGAGCCTCCAGGGGGGACGAGATGGTCAATCTCGACTGAAGGTCTCTATTGAGGATGTAGACGAACTTCTGCCTCTCCACAGCCGAGACCATACAACTCCTTCCCTTCGGGTCAACAGCCAAGTACTGACCAGGTACAGTACGTCGGCACCCCCTAAAACAGCAGCAGTAGCATGTCGAATTTCGTGGCGCAGTGACGGAAATCTCACGTCTTGCCATAGGTCTCCTGATGGACCTTATCGAAGATGTTCTTCGTAGTGTTGTACTCCAAAATGACGATTCGACCCGAATCAGAGCCAACCAGGAGGTAGTCCCTATTGGCCCCCACCAGACGGAAGGTCTCCAGCGAACGTATGAGGCCGAAGCAGTTGACAGATATCACAGTCTGCAGCCTGTTCTGCTCATCAGGACGCAGCAACTCCAAGGTCGAGCCTGACAAGATACGGAATAGGCCCAAAAAACGCCCACTCGGGCAGCACCTCTGGCCACGACTATCTCCTGAGCTTTCGGTGCCGAGAAGTTACCATACACCGCGCATGTGACGGCCGAGGTCTTCGACAACGTCATGTTGTAGAAGTGAGGCATTTTTAAAGGAGGAGGACGAGGCCAACAACAACAATGACGACCACTCGTCAACACTCTACTGCCATCAACACTACCAAACGGAGCAGGGAGGGACCCAACACAAACAGTAAAGGGTAACTCCATGGAGTTCATGGAACTAACACCAGGATGGACGTATGACTCGTACCCCGTCATAATGGGGAGGGGCCGACCCCATTGCCACTAACTGTATCATCCTTATGCTGCGCACATACAGAGAGCAGAACCAATGACAGTGTGGCTGTTGATCTGGCCCCAATCGATATACACTCAGACGGGGCCCTCTCCACTCTGAGATCCTCTCGATGGTAGTACCGAACAGCACCACCGTCATAAGAAACGACGAGAACTCGAGATCACCACAGACCTGCCACTACCTGCCACCAAGGGCCTTGAGCCCCTCAACGTCCTCTCGATCACAGCACCAGACCCTACCCTGATGCATCTTCTCCTTCCTTTCCAATCTCAAGACTAATATCATACCCTTAATTCACTGGCCCGCCGTGGATGGACAAATTGCCAGCGACTAGAAGCCCTACGTATCTACCCTTCAGCCGTGCCCAACACCCCTACCGGCGCCTCTTGTCCGATCGAGGCATCCATCGTCCACAACGTGTGAACTACCGTCGAGTATACCTCTTCATAGACTCCGATACAACACAGAAGAAGGCAGTCCCTGAGTGGCCCAACGGTCACCATCCGACGACCCCATCACATGAGGAAGGTCTGCCACTGCCTTGTCCAGGGACTGACGATCTCTGTAACGACCACACTAGATGCTCCCAATCCATACGGAGGTTCGCCGTACTCTGGCATGAGATGAAACAACGACAATGGCACGACCCCGGGTAGATTCCCTGCACTTCAACAAATAACAGATGACCTTCAAAATACAACTGCTTAACACCATTGAGTTTGCATGATTCACTTGGGCTCACGTTGAAGGTAAAACTGCGGCAGAATCTGAACCAACGGCCACTCCGAAGAAACTCCCCTCCCGACAAACTACCACTGACCATCTCTCTCGGCCTTCATACGGGCATTAGGGCCCAGTAGCTCATCCAGTAGAGCAACCAGACGGGTAGAGTCGAGCGTCTCAAGGTCTTGAGTGATGGCCCTTCGACGATTCTGCAACGACCTCGTACCTGCCACGCTGAGTAGAGGAGGAGTTCACTTACCCCACGGGGCACCTACCGAAAAAGAGGCTTAGGGCCACCACAGTCATGAGGGCAACCGCAGCGAGTCTAAGTGCCAGCATCCTGTGGCGACGTCGGGATATGCCTTTTTGTAGGAAGTGGCTCGATCTCCCCAGGCTGGGGAAGGAGGGTTCGACTGTGGTCATGAACTCCTCAACAACAGACTCGGACCACCAGTCCTTGGGGGACACTACTAGTTGGGCTAGGCCACTGAGGGGGATCTCTTCCTCTGGGTCCCCTTCCTCAGGTGGGCCCGGCATGACCAGAATAACCCCAACGGTTATGATAATTCCGAAGAAAATTATCGCCGCTGTGAATTGAACCAGGGCCAACCGGATGGCAGTCCGACGTAGTTTCTCGTCGCAGTCCGAAGGGATGAAGTATTCACTGCGACAGTTTGGGCAGTGGCTCGCGAGAGTCTTCCGTAATAATCCCTCGACACACTGACGATGCACCAGACCGGCGTCCTCCGACTTTTTATGACAATCGCAAATGCAAATGAGGAGGTCGGGAAAGTCCCCACTCCCACAGTGACAGCAGACGAGACCTTCCTCGTTCGACTCACGAGCAGCAGGCTTCGAGCTTACACACCGTCGACCAGCCATTGGTAGTGTTCGTTGGAAGTTATCAGCACGAAAAACCGGCCGATTATAAGTGCGTAATTTTGTCGAAATACGGATTTTTTCCACTGCGCATAATCGTTGTGTAATACTACTGTGGGTGTTGCACATTTCCTAAGCTGTCTTACGAACCTTCAGTGCATCCACTTTGAAGAAATCTCATCCGATCGGCGTTTTCCGAGCCCCCTGTCGTCAAATCACCCTTCTACTACTCAATGCTCCTCTCATGCAGTTGATTCCCCTCCCCCCTCATGAAACGAGGCCGAGGTAAGTCCCAAGCGTCCAAGCGTGCCAAAGAGGCCCCCCAAGAGGTCGTCGAGCAGGCGGCCCCAGAGGACTACTCTACCGTCATTCTGTCCTGTACCAGTAAAGAGGAACTCCTCCGTCTGATAGCGCAGTTACAGCCCAACCCCAACAACGAGTCGGCCGGGCCCCCACCGAGCGTATCGTCCAAAGACCCCATCCTTGCGTTGGAGAAGGACACTCCACTGACCTGCTCACAGTGCCTTCGAACATTCAAGAGGGCTCGTGACCCTGGCCCCTGTGCGACCTGCAGTAAGGCACGGAAAGCGTCTTCGAGGTGGCCCGAGAAAAGTGTTATCTCGGCTGCCGAGACGTTAAGTTTCAAACTGACCAACTATGCAGCAGAGGTCGAAAGTGGTCTCGGCTCTTGCAGTAGTCGACTGCCCTCCAGCTCTGTGACTACCCCTAAGGGCCTCAATGTGGACCTGTTGGGCTTGTACGAGGTCCCCGGTCAGGTTCAGGCCGTGAAGAAAAACGGCATTGGATTCGGCGGGGGTGAATACGATGATGCCAGTCGAGTGAGCCGAGGCAACGTGCTGACCTCCCTTCAGCAGCCTCTCGACAGGACCTGCTCGAAAATTCTGAAGTTTCTCGCAGGAGCTCTGGAGGCGTCTGGGTTCGTTTTAACCCGAGGTATAGCGGAAGAATTCGCCCGGACGATTGTGGACGGACTCATGGAGTGGCTGAGGGAGTCTTGGATTGATCTGTGTGGTCGGCGAAAGACGGTATTGGAATCGATGCTGACGTTTTTGGAGGCGGCAGTCAAGCAGGAGGCGTTGGTACCGTTGCTGTGCTCACCGGTGAGGGATGGTTCAAACACTGTCTTCACGGCTCTGAGGACCCTGGCCGTCCAGGCGACTGTAGGAGATGATAAGATGGGCCCGAGGGTTCAGCAGTTGGCTGATTCTATAGAAACTCAATGGGCCCGATGGAAGGACTCTCCTACGCCTCCACGTGGTCGGCAGGCTAGGGGTCGAGCTGCTGGTAAACGTAAGGCTGAGGTCACCAAAACGGAAGAGGAGGGGCCTGGAGGAGAACCCTACGTGGCGGCATTGAAGCACTGCCGTTTGGCATCCTGCGCTGGTATATCAGATGTGCACAAGTATGCGAAGAGTAGCGCTCCACCCAGTGCCGCTGCAGCTGTCAGAAGTAGTGGAGGGGGAGTACCGCACTGCGAAGATTTTATTAATACTATGAGGAGCTGTGATGCTTTAGGGATTCATAATGAGCTTGGATGCCTGGCGACCAGTCTGCCGCTTCACCCGGACTCTTCGATTTTCGTAGTTTACGACGATCGACGGACGGACCTCCTCAGAGCTCTCATCACAGGTCATCACGTTTCCTCCCCTTACGAAGATATGCTCCTGGCAGGTCCAGCGGATACGCCGTATGCGAATGGTTGTTTCATTTTCGACATCAAAGTGCCGACCAACTACCCTCGGGCCCCTCCCAACGTGGCGTTGCTTACCACAGGGAAGGGCACTGTCAGATTCAACCCGAACCTCTACTCGGACGGGTAGGCCCCACTCCCCCTTCTTGAAACGCTCATCTCCCTCCTCAGACATGTTTGCCTCTCCCTGCTGGGCACTTGGAGTGGTCCGGGATGGTCACCGACATCGACACTGCTTCAAATCCTGCTATCTATTCAGAGCCTCATCTTTGTGGCAGAGCCTTACTTCAACGAGCCTGGTAGGCCCTTTAGTGTGGGCAAATATGCATATAGTCGACTACATGTGTTGGTGACAAAATGAAAATTCTGAAATTTTTTTGGGGAATTCTTATTGATTTTCGGGACGTTTCCCACCCGAATTCGTATAGAAAGTAACAAGCTAACATATACTCCAACACTGTTGTATCCATTTTCTCGTAAATGGTAGGATATGAGAGTTTTGCCGGCACCCCGGGGGGCCAGCGAGCCTCCGAACAATACAACCATGTGGTGAGGAAGGAGTGCTTGAGATGGGCTATGCTGGAGAATCTCAAAGACCCCCCATTGGGCTTCGAGGAGGTACTACTGCTACTACTACTACTACTACTACTACTACTACTACTACTACTACTACTACTACTACCGGATTTTGATCTCACTCGTGTGGTCAGGTTATTCGAAAACATTTTGCCCTCCGGTCTGAGGTCATCTTGGCTCAGCTCGAGCAGTGGAGTAAAATTCCGAATGACCCTTTCAGGGAGGATGTGATGAGGCTCACCGCTGAGCTGAAGGAGCGTCTTGTCCCCAAACCAGCGGCTAAGGTGGAGGTCATCGATTTGGAGCCCGCGGGCAAGGAACAAGGGCGTGTGACACTACGGCGGAGCGAAAGGCTGCGGAAAAAGGCCAAATTGGGATGAAGTTTTAATAGTCGTTTATTTCGATTGCATCATTAAAATATGGTTCACGCCTCCATCAATACATAAGTAGGATTCATAGTGCTACTACCAAGACTTGTCCTTTTTTTACTCGCACTGACCGTAATTGAGTTGACAAAGTGTAGAAAGTCGTTAACACAAGGACTACTACTAAAATAGAGGGCGTACTCCTATGAATGGTAGTCGTTTTGAGAGTAGTGGAGATAGTCGTGGATTGGGTTCTACTACTACGACGTAGTAGCAGAGTATTCTGGGGTGGCAGCTGTTCTTCCATCAGTGATCACACACGCTTTTGTTGATGAGATGGACACGAAATGACTCTACTCGCAAATTCTCGAATTCGCAAATGTTCAACAAGAATAATGGTAGGCTGATAGTAACGAGAGTGCTCCCTTTGGTGTATTAACTTTAGTCTTGTCTCCAATTTTGCATAGTTGTGAGGAGCACGAGGTAAAGGGCACTCAGGGGTTCCATCCCGACGTTGAAACTCAACAAACAACCAACACACTTGCCACACTAATGATATAAGTGTAAAAGTCAATCCTCTTTCGGACCGTCCTCCTCCTCCTCCTCGCCTCCCTCCTCCTCTTCCGTCTGGGCGTCCTTAGGGTTGTGCTTTAGTAAATATTCAGCCACGAACCCCACAGGGTCCTCGGGCCTCTCCCGTGCCACAGCGTCCAACGCCGGGACCAACACCGGCACCAGTGTCTCATCGAGCCACTGCCTCAGAGGCAACTCCTTGAGTACCGGGACTGGCTTCTCAGCGGCCTTCTCGATGCTAGCCGCCGCCTTGCCGTCATCAGTATAGGCCTTGCTTTCCCCTAAAACAACAGACGTGCATTGATTACCCCCAATTCGCTATTACCTTCGGGCTGAGCTTCCTCCGGTACCTCCTCCTTGTCATCAGAAGGAGGAGAGTCCATGACAGTCTCGTCGGTCTTCTCTGCCGTTGACATTGAAAAAACGCTTCTTAAAAGCAATGGCCTTATAAGAAAATTATTTTTGTGACAACTACTGTCCCGTATACGGTGAACAGCGATAAAGGTTACGCTCAGACGTACCCTATTACTCGTTGATCAATTAACGGTTAAATCTAATTGAAAAAACCGATTCTCACACTGCAGGAAATTCTCACCACTGAACACTACAGGGCAGTTCGATACTAAGACGGTTTCGAATTCGTATTGCTATTGTTAGCACTAATAATACTCAGCGCAGCTTCAATGCTCGCTACAGCTCCAAATATACATTTATCCGCTACCACTCCTTCCCCACCTCCCGAGTCACCACCGAGTCACCAACCGAGTCACCTCCAGGTTTCTTCTTCCCTCGAACTTGCCGCCGTGCTCGTTTTCGAGGACGAGTGTCCGAAGGCTCCTCATTGGCATCGTGGAGCAATTGGAAATCACTAGGGGATATTTCAGGCCGCTCGTCCGGGTTCAGCCCTCCTCGCATAATCGCCTTCATCGCCACTCTGTCCTGTTTGAATTTACGAACCTCATCTGCGTCCCCAATCTCATTCCACCTCCGCATGAGGAAATTGTCCGATCTTCTAGTGAACCTCTGGCTGATGAGGGACCACCTAGGGCCCAACTCCGCGACAAGGGCCTTCAGGAGCTCCGACTCTTCCTCCGTCCACGGGTCCTGGTCGTACCCCAACGACTCCTGGGAAATCTTCTCATACCGTTCGCGGCAAGATGTATTCGATCGATTCGGGATCAGCTGAGCCACCACAGTCCAATCTATGTTTTCCGGTTCTCCCAACATTTTGACCGCCATTTTCAACCTCTTATTCTCCTCAGGGCTCCACACTGCCCCCAGGCCGCGGTTACTCCTAGCTGATAAATACTTATAGCGATGCCGTATTTGAGGGCCCTGGTGACCAGTACCCATTTGATAGGCAATTTCATTCCAACACCCTGGGCCGTGACGCTCAGCCAGTTTCATAAGCAGTACGTCCTGCTCTTCAGTGAAGTTCCTAGGGATCATCTTAGCATCTAGACTCCGGGAATATCTACATAGAGGTTGAATGTGATGAAGTGATGGTAATGGCCTACCTCTGGAAGCACATACAGGGCGTGCGGTTGGTCCCCAACTCGGCTGCGATTGCTGGCCAGTCCCAACCGTGATGGGCCTCAGCGATGTAGTAGAGACGAAGGTCCTCCTCCTACCACATACATAGTGCCAATGTCACTCGTAGTGATACGACAGTCTGAGTTCGCCAGTCCCGAAGACTACCTTAGTGAATTCCGAGGTGTTGATGCCAGGGGCCAAATGGTGTTGCCATAGGGCTCTCGCGCAGGCTGGGGTTCGACAATGACGCCATTCAAGGGACTGCTTGCCAATTCTGCCCACCAACAGCTCGTACACTCGGTGCCAATCTATCTCCACTACGATGCTCATATCAGTTGCCAACTCTTCAACTTCATTGTAGTCGTTACACGATCCGACCTGTTTTGAATCCACGTCGGTCGACCTCAAGATACGTCCTCAGCTTACCATCTGGTGAATTTTCTCCCGCACTTCGGGTGAACACTCTTCACCATTTCCACTACTGTTCAATATCGACTCCAACAGGCCCTCCTTAACTGACTCCACTACAGCCCATTCGACGCCTTCACGGTCCTGACCAGCCACGTCTGATAAGAAAATCTTCGCAGTGCGCAACAGGATACCTCCTTCTCTTCCCGTGACAAAGGTCGAGTGGCACTGATGGGCCTTAAGGCAGCAGCTCTCATGTCCCTCTCGTAGGCCTCTACCAAAGTTGGAGGAAGGCTCCGATCGCTATCGATGCAATCAGGCCTGAGGGAAAATGAGATAGAGAGTTACGGTGCATTTCGAGACGAGTTGGCGATGGAGTGGTATGGAAACGGTCGATTATTTTCGCACGCACAAGCAAACTTACCTCAGCGAATGATACCATCTTTTCGGTTTCCGTCGAGTTGACAGGTCCTCTTCGTTCATAAAGTCCACGAGAATTCTATTATGTTCTTCCAACCTTCTCTGCATCCTCCTATTCTCCTCCAAAGATTCTCTTAGATTCCTCAGTATGCCGTCAATATTCACCATATACTCATAGTTCAACTTAGCGCCACTGTCCAGGCCTACCCCCTGGCTGGCCGCTGAGGCACTTACAGCCTCTCGGGCCCGTCGGGCCTGTCTTCGAGAGCTCATAGGAATGCAGAGGAACTTAACACGACGATGAGATTAAATCAGCTCTTGCTATCTTACAAAATCTTGCGTTTCCTCAACGCAAAGAACTGAAGCCTTTCACCAGTGGAATCTTTCCAAAATCGACTCGTTTACTAGTACGACCGGTTGAGGCTGTTAGTGAACGTTTTAAATGTGATTCGTATGGTCTACCACGTCAGACTCTTTTCTCACGAAAGTAGCCGAGGTGAGATAATATGCACAAAGTCAACTGCATGTGTTGATGACAATGTGGAGGAATATATGTTCGCTCTCCCGCAGTTGAGCGCCTTCCTCGTTAACTATAGAAGCTCAGCGAAGTGTTCAGGAACTCCCAAAAATAACAATTTTCAAATTTTCATACTGTCACTATATTTTTCCACAGTGGAAGAACCAACTCCGGCTTGGACAACGAATACACGTCATTTTGCCAGCACACTCCCCATTTTTCATGGTCCCCGATCTCACAGTAGTAGCTGATCCTCAGAAGTCTACAGCTTGTAGTAACGTCAAGGTGAGGCCGGTCTGCGGCCCTGTGGACCCCAAAGTAGAGGAGACTGCCGTTGAGAGGGTCTTGCGGCTTCGTAATGTCTTATCGGGAAGGCTTGCAACTAGATCTGGTGATGCTGGGCCCCGTAGTTCTACCGCTCCTTTGTTGACTTTCGACAAACTCCGCTATGATGTAGGCGAGGAAGAGGACGGTGAGGAAGGGCTCGTAGTGGAGTTCACCGATAGGAGGCGGAAAAGTTGTGGTCGAAATACTCTGCGGAAATTCCTTGACAGAAGCAAAGCATTTGGTAGTAGTAGACGGCCAGCTACTGCCCGTCCCCGAGAAACTCCACCCAAGGAAAGAATAGTCGAGCCAGTTGTGAGAGTAGACGATCCCCTCGGTGACGACACCAGCACTTTCATTGAAGTGAAGCAGCGTAGGAAGCTGAGACGTAGTGTGTCTGAGCCGGACATGAGCGTGGTGCCCGAGCCTACTGCCCTCGAGGGCCTGCCCGAAGAATGCAATTCCGAACCGGAGGCTCTTGGCACTGGGGTGGACTTGGCTGCTCGTGGGGGTCAGAAACGGCGGAGGAAAAAAATGAGGAAGAATCAGTTCATCGATGATGCCGCGAGTGTGTCGGGGTCGTCAGGAGGCGATGAAGATGACGAAGAGGAGGATGGTAGGGGTATAGGAAGTACCCTATGAAGGAGTTTTAATTTCAGGATACTTATCTGATCTGATAGCAACAAGTAGTGATTGTAGCGAAGCGTCGGACTGTGATGCGGGTATGCTGCATCGGCAGTGGGAGGACGAGATGGGCGAGAGAATGTTGAGGGGGATCTTTCAGCGAGGTCGGAGGTTCAGCTCGCAGTCTAGTATGATATAGGTCTTCAGGGAAGATCTCTCGTCGTCGCAGAGCCAGCAGTCTGGGAGGTTTGCTGTTCGCTGGTCTTGATCGGGAGCGGGCTCATCGGCCTAGTGACCCTACTGGGCCCAGGAGGAGGAGGAAGAGGAGGGGAGCCTGTAAGGACCGTCCTCACCTATTAGGTTAGCAGATCATCGTAGATATGGTACGAGACCATCGTCCCCAACAGGAGTCACCCGATGATCACAACAACTGCAGGAGAAGGAGATCGATCGGTAACACAACACATCGTAGACCCGTAGTGGTTGCCCCACCGCAAAGGCATCAAAAGAGGGCTCAAGGTACTGAGGTAACACCTCGTTGAAGGAGTATCGTCTTAGTAGAGGACCCAGTCGTATCTGCCCCGACGGCTGAGTGTGGCAGGCGAGTGTCTTTGGGAATGCGAGACACTTCCTCTAGCATCAACCTCAAGAGGGCCGTCGGGTACTTCACATATGTGCCTGTCTTGGCAGCTCTTTGCTGCAGTAGGTTCGTAAGGCGCCGTAGCTCCCGGGGCCGGCCCGCTGGAGGGTTCCTAGACGGACCCTCCCCTGCCCCAAGAGCTGCTGCCTTCGTGCCCACTACTGGTGTCCGACTCAAACAAGGTGTTAGAAGATTCATTTTCGGCGGTTGACCCCCTGTTGGGAATGAAGTTCGTCGCATCGCTAGTGTTTAATACTCGATAATATTCCTCATGCCCATGACGACTTTTCTCCCTATATTACGGTATGCGTTGATATGCAGGATGTTCGAAAAAGAGGTCTCGAGATATTCATTAGCCTCAGAAGAGGCTACTGCTGAGCTTCACGTTTGTATACGACCATCTACTGGCGAGATAGAGACTTTCATAACCCAACGAAATGTTGTGCAATCTCGGAAACATTGTGAGCATGCAAGCCATCAGAACACCATACGATTCTCTCGCTTTGTCCGTTCCTTCTTGGGTAATACGATACCATCACCTGAGCACAACAACTGCCGCCTTCAAATACGTCACTAGGTTCTCACCAACTTGGACATCTCTAATCTCAACATGACCTTCCTCATCATCAGCTGGTTTAAGGAGGCCTTTTTTAACCAGAAGTCGCTCGTTACGTCGGACATTAACACGCAACATCGACCCCGTATCCGCGTCCCGTTTGAGCACCGACTGCTCCTAAACGCTCAAAGGCTTGCCAGCGAATTCATAGTGAGCTCCCTGTCCCCACTTGCGAGTCGCTCCGCGTTACGTTATGATTGGGCATCTTGGGCAAGACCTCGCCCTTCTTCAACCTTCCTCGACTTACCAATTCCACCAACTGAAGGGTCTCCATAGAAAAGTGGCGGTGAGTAGGGAACTACCTTCTTGTCCATGCGGTACCGCTTTCGCCATTCCTGTATAACAGCCCGCTTAGCAGGCCCACACAGATTGTCCCTTGGTGGTAAACCCATCTTCTTGCGACGAGCAAGATACCAATCATAAGCACTACGTTTTTTCAACTTCACCTTTTTCGTCTGAGCCCGTGAGTAACCGTGGGAAACTCATCTTGTCAACTGCCCACCTCAAGGTCCTGCTTCAGCTTCTCTAGTTTTAGTATTTTATTAATGCTCTTAGACGCGAACCGGACATCTAGAGGCCTCGAGGCCCGACTGGCCTCTTGAATTTTCCGAACCACTGGGAGATTTTTCTTCCGAAACAGTACCGTAACTCGACCTGCTCGGCCTGGCAGGGAAAGCGTCTTCCGCTTCTTCGTAATCGTTTTCCAACCTGCTCTTGCCGTTCGGCCGACTCTGTGAATGTAGTCCGCCAGCGTGTAAGGAAAGTCGTACATAATCACATGGCCCACATCGTCGAAGTCCAAGCCACGACTAGCCAGATTCGTGCAAACCTAAAGTCACCGACTGTATCGAGAAAAGACCACAAGGAAACCACCACCATAATTTCCTTCGCTGGTGTGCCAGTCTTTGAGGCACCCTTGAATGAGGCGAACTCCTTCCGTCGGTTCTTGAAGGCCATCTCCCCGTGGAGTAAGCTGACACTATAGCCCTCAGCCTCGAGCATCTTGGCAACTCCTCTACACCGTGCTACAGTGTTGGTAAATATAAGGGTCTGCCAGAGGGCCACACCGCGTCACCTCCCGAGACTGGGGTCCTACCTTCTGGCCTCGCACTTGTCGCTCTTCAAGTGTGTCAACCAAGGCGTTACTTCTCTTCCGGCCCCCCATCGGGACGAAGACCTCGACGGTGTACCAACTGGACGATACTGTCCTAATGCCAACCTTACTTGTTCGAGAGCTGGGACGGTCATGTGAGCGTCGGGAGCAACGACTTGGTTCACCACCACATGGGTCGGGACGGAGGTTCGTACGAAGTTACTGACCGCTCCTGTCCTTGTAGCGCCCACGAAGGCCACCTACGACCGAGGCATAGCCTTGTGTATCATAGCACCGTGTTCATCTACCAGAGGGGCAGACCTCGCGGCTCCTCGGGCCTTGAAAGTCTTGGAAATTACGTCGGCAACCTCCTTCTCATAGAAGGTATCACACAAGGTATCGGCCTCATCTATCTAACAAGTAGCAAAACGTCACCTATGGAGTTAGAACCTGTGCGTTCAGCTTGCAAAACCACACCCTTAACCATTAGACCACTTGGCAAGATGATCTCCATCGACATCGAAGAAGGCAGCGTCTCACCACAAGATGCGTCACTTCGCCCAACTTCACATTTCCTTTCATCAGATGCAGGAGCAACCTCGCAGGAGTACACACCACGACATCTCCCTAGAAAAAGCGAGCCGTCAAGACCCCTCTAGCCCCCAGTCTCCAGTACCCTTCCTTGGTTGAGAGCCCTCGCCTCCTTAACATAGCTTAACCCAGCAGCCAAACCAGTGCTAGTAACCTCTCTACATCCCTGTGCTGTCAGTTGGCGCACTACTTTGATCACCTGATAGAATCTCTCCCGAAAAGCGTCCAAAATACGCCTACTTGTATTGCGAGCTCCCTAGTGGGGACCAGAATGACCGCTCTGGGCTTGTTCTCCAGAGGGTAGAGGTTGTCAGGATTGGACCTCAGCAGTCTATGCAGGATAGGCAATACGTAAGCCATAGTCTTCCCTGATCCAGTCTGTGCCACTACGAGCACAGACTGGCCCTCCATTATAGCGGGTATGCACACCTCCTGAGCAACCAAGCGCTGACCACACCGTCAACCAACACTACCGTACCTGCGTTCTGGTGGGTGTGACGGCACCAGAACTATGCAGACCAACGAGGAGCTCCTTGTCCAAGCCGAACCGATGGAAGGAGTTAACTCTATCGAAGGAGGTGAACCTACGTCTAGTCCATCACCCGATATTCACCTGGCCAGCACCTGACCTGTTAGGCATAGGGACATCGGCACTCAGGGGCCGCCTCAGGCTGCCCTCTCCAACTGGTGTCGCATCGGTTGCCGCAGGAGGAGGGCTGTATTCAAGCATACCGTTACCTAGGCCGGAGGAGAAGCTCCGAGAGATTAGACGTTGGTTTCGAAGAGGATGGGCCGACAGTTGAAGGACCGCCGCCATTCGAACAGTGAAACGAATAACCACCGCACTGCGAGAGCCATCTCTTATCGCGAATACTACAATTAAAGCACATAGGACAGCGACATGAAACCACAGGCTTAGTCAGAGGTGGAGAAGAGGACTGCCACGTCAACTACGACTGTCCGTGAGCCATCGAAGTGAGCACAGCGAATAACACCTCCGCCATTTCGATTGGACATCAGGGATTGAATATATTCCTTTTGAGTTCCTAGGACGCTTCCGTCACTCCGGTACTACCCTCCAAGTTATCGTCGGGCTAGCACGATGATGTGAAGTACACGGAACCTGTCTCCACCGTCATAACCTGCCCAAGTGGGATCTTCAGGAGTCGTCTTTACATGCTGTAAGAGGCACTTCGTACTGTTCCCTAAGTATCCACGATCCACGGTAATTTTATATGCCTTAGTTTCCAATCGAAAGGCGTCCAAAAAGGTTAGAAAACATCCGAGCACAAAAAGGGCAGTTTACGAAAGTTTCCTCCTTACAAAAACTTTGCTAAGGTGAATGACCAACTGTAGAAGTTATGGACAACACAACAGAACAGCTTGAGTGAGATGGCTACATTAGTAACAGACCTCTCCACTAGAACCTCTGCTACAAGATGCTCTATACGCCTCTGATAATACCTCTTGCTCCCCCCCCCAAGAAAGTGATGAATTCTCTATATGACAGAGGAAGTTCCCCTGAACAGCCGTCATGCCCGCCTCGAACTCCTACCAGCGCCACGATCTACCACAGTCATCATTTTGTGCAAGATGCAGATAGGGTGTGGCATCTTGCAGGCCTTCGAACTTCGAACCAACCAAGCTATTTTCATCATGTTCATCGGTTCAGGTATGTAGACTTAGGACTGACTTTAGGTTCACGTCGTGGTGCTGTTCTAACCTTACGACATTAGATCGGTACGTAAGCGTTGAGTTGTAATATCAGCAACGAGCTTGGTAGCTTGTACCAATTACACAGTGTGTGATGCAGACGTACGTATGCGTGCGAATCGTGCACGCATGCTCAAATTCTGTGAAGTGCGTTGCCAGATATCCAAATTAGTGCCCCTTGTTTGCTTATCATTCTGTGATTCCTGGTAACAGGTAATTCAGTGTGGGAAATTCACTATGGATTTGCGGTTCGGTGACGCCGATCTGATAATGAGGATTATCCTCCTCTATGATTCGGGCAGTCTGCTTGAATACATCCTCATGGGAACACTGAGGGGTTCATAAATCATGAGAAATCTGAAGAATAGATCTGTTCATAACCAACTACCTACTGCTATACAAAAAGAATGGTGCTTTATTCAACACATCAGCGTAGCTCGGGTAGTGCTGATATTTCAGTGGAATAACCCTTTAGTGAATAGTGGACGCACCAGGATGCATCACTGCTTACAGTTTCACTGAAAATGCCCTATAGTCTGCAAGCCGCTAAACTCATCCCTCGGTTCAGACCAAACCGGTCCAGGAGAGCCCTCATTCCCCAGGCCGGGGATGTGCTATCCTCGACCTCTACTGACCTTTCCTCTCGACAACTGCTCTTACCGTCCGGCTCAGTCACAACTTGCGACCCAGCCTCGGATTTCCTCCGTGAGGATCCGTCGCTGAATGCTATGATAGAAGCCACCAGAGGCCAAATAGAAGCCATCGAGCTTTTCTCAGCATCGATGCTTAGGAACCCCTTCAACACTGCGGACGTAAGTCGACTCACGTCACATCATGCCCAGAGGTTTACCGTCTCAGAGCCTGGCAAAGGTGAAGGAAGCCGCCTTACGACAAGATCCTAGGAGGACGTATTTACAAGTCACAGCACTGGAAAGGTCCTTATTGGCAAGTGAGTACTGACCGGAGGTTCTGAATTGTGCTTCCTATTCGCTAACAGGCTCCAACGTCGACTCACAGTGGGGTGGCCAGCTCATACGTCGCACGTTGAACCAACAGCTGAACTCAGCTTATGCCCAATTCCATGGTAGGCCACGACCAGGTCGGTCCAGGAAAGAGGCATTCAGGAAAGTACCCAGACGAGCCAGCAGCTGCATTGAGTGTTGTCACTCAAGAGGAGATGGCGGCAATCATCGACCATGTTTACGAAGAATACACTCAGTCTGGTGTGGCTGGGTGCGGCGAACAACCGCCCGATCGGTCACATCACTGTTATGGTCAGGGAATGGATACACTCTGTTGACAAAGCGATACCTCCTGATATCAACGACTGGTTGCTCTTTGACGACCGCACCAAATGTAAGCGTCAACTGTTGCGGCTGTTGCAGGACGACGATACGCGACCCCTTGCCGTTCGAATCAGTCAATGAGAAGGCGGTATATCACAGAGTGTATCGCAGCCCAACGTGTATGCGTATAATAGGCCCTCCGAACAATGACGACCTCCCGCTCACCATGAGGCTAGGGTAAGGTGTCCAGGGATAGTCGCTTGCCAATTAATTCTGTCTATAGGACTCCGGCTAAGGCGTTCCTCGAGCTCATGACCTTCCGGTCCGGGCCTCTACGAAATGGCGCTCATATGGAACCGTGGATGAGGTTTATGCCGGGGAAGGTATTCGAACTTGTGCGCAATCACGTCACGCGTTTTTGGCGGCAGTGAGTTCCCACTAGGCTAAGAAGTCGGGCATAAACCTTTTTTGTAGGTACGCCGACTACCGGAACAAGCGAGTGAAGATTCACATGACCGCCATGCGTAAGGAGTTACCGCACTTTCTCGCGATCATAAATATCAAACTGTGGAGTCTAGCTTTAGTACAAGGTGATCCGTCTGCACCTCGCTTGAACCTAAGATACCATCCCTTGTTCAGAACTTGAGAAAGCCCAGTTGCGACAGCGAAAGATAGATTGTAATGGTCGACGTTCTGCTTACGAGGCCCTAGTTCAATACAGCGGTGCTGAGCTCATATCCGAGGCTCTTGTTAAGGAGGCATTCGCTTTGCACAATTACAACGACATGCAACTGGAAGCTCCTCGGGACCAGAAGGAAAGTACGAGGGAGTTCAAAAAAGTGAGGATTGCAGATCCGAGCAAAAGATGGGTATTGGATAATATAGGTGGGGAGCGTTAGGCCTCGGCTGTTTGTCCATCTCGTCCTCAGCGACTCGCCGTATCCCCGCGGAGGGCGATGACGATGATTTCCTCCTACCGTATCTGGTGGACTGGGAAACAGCCAAGTTGGGCTCGAGGGCGAGGCCACTACCGAATCGTCCCATGAAAGGTTGGCTACACTCTCTTGGTGACGTTACGAGCTATGCCATCACCCACGAATTCGTCACGGCATTGGCTGGGTACTGTCTTCAGTACAACAGTAACGTTCTGGTAGTCGGACCGGACTCAACCAGGCTGTGTTATTTTTTGACCGAGTACATCACTGCACAAGTGCCGGAAAGTCAAGTGAAGCTCATCGCTATTGAGATTTTATCCGAGGAGACCACAACTGACAAGCACCGACCATGGGGTAAATCTAAGGGGAACGAGGAACAGGAGAAGTCTATGGTGGAGCCTGTGACATCGTTCCCGAAGCACCTGGACTATCGCCCAGCACTGTGTCCCTACACTGGTCGGCTCAAGTGGCCTCCTCCTTTACGAGCAACACTGAACGATTTTTACAACCATTTCAGTCCTCAAACAGCAGTGGTCACTTCCCTTGATGACGGCGTTGACGAGATAACTCCCAAATTGCGCACTATGGGTTGCCTCAAGCGGTACCTTGTATTGGGTCCCCGTAGTAGCGGGAGTGCCTATCACACGTGGGGTATCCTGCCACTAGGCTGTCCAGAGAGGCGCATATCTCCAGTACATTATGATGGTTGGGAGATCGCCGGTGATCTTGGTAAGGTCAGCAGACATATTTTGCATCCTTACATGGCGAGGAACCAATTCGGGGAAGTGGACCCAGGTAGAAAGCCTTCGACGTCTGAGGTGTCCGCAATGGTGACTTAGGTCTACTATGGGCACTTTCATCAGCCGCTACGTTGTTCCGACGGAGACATCGCTGAGTGTTGCTACTGCATGGATGTGTTTCTGAACAATCTTTGTATTTGCGTTACTGATAGTCGTGGCCTCCTGGAGAACGTCCGCTTATCGTCTGGAAGATGTTCAGTGAGCGCTACAGCGAATCTGAGCTGTGTTACATCACAAATCCAACATCGTCATGGGTTAGTGCATGAACAGGTCCAATACTCATAGTGTGATAAACATCGTCATAGTCCCCCACATATGCCCTAAATCGTGGTGAATGTTCTACGGTTTCCTGTCCCTGTTGTCCACGCATTGAATGATAGGTGGGACCTTGCCCACTGAACAACCCAACAACCCAAGTCACTCAAATATCACTTAGTATTATCGGCAATGAGATCTAGAGCTTCGCTGATGGCATTAACACCTTTCTTAACATCATCCTCGGTATTATACGGCCCAATGGAAAGCCTAAGACTGCCTTGTTCCCCCAGAGCTCGATGCAGTGGTATCGCACAGTGATGCCCAGCGCGAAGGCAGACGCCTTGCAGCCCACTAGCGATCGTACCCACGTCGTTGGGGAAAACATCATCGAAGGTCATTGACACTATAGGGGCTCCTCGATTAGCCTTCAAACCTCCCAAAGTCCTACAAGGAATCTTCGACACCTCATCGAGTGTGATCGACAACAGCTCTTCTTCATGCTGTTTGATCTCCTCTCGATGGTCCATGACATAACGAGCGGCTGTCGCCATCCCTACTGCCTCTGCTAAAGGCGGCGTACCTGAACATAAGAGGCATGCAGCTCAATCAACAATCACTATTAGTGTATTACCCGGTTCATACCGCCATGGAGCGTTGGTGTACCTAATGTTGAGGTCGCTGTCAATATCTTCGAGAGCCCCTCCCCCATTGGTAGCTGGTAAAGGCAGCATCTTCAGCGCTCGGTCAGATAACCACAGGACCCCAACACCGGTAGGGCCGTACATCTTATGACCAGAGAAGACAATAGCGTCAACCCCCAGCTCCCCGACATTGATTTCTTGATGAGGGACACTCTGTGTGCAGTCCAACACTATCAATGCCTTCGGTGCCCTACTTCGAACCAGCTTCCGAATCGCGTCAACGTCAACTTCATGTCCAGTGACGTGACTCACATGGACGAAGGATACCACCCTTACGTGGTCGTCGAGCTTACTAGCAAGATCCTCCATGTCGATCTCAGCCGACTCACGATCGACCCTCACCATTTCTGTCCTCGGGCAAGCAGTGCTCCATGGTAAAATATTACTATGATGATCCATCTCTGTCACTAAAACCTTCCCATCATCCAGAAGACCATTCCTCGATGCCATGCCCGCCAACCTATTGAGGCCATCAGTCGCCCCCGATGTTATGACTAGCCCTCGAATTCCCTTCGCTCCTATAAACTTCGCCATCGTCTCTCGGGATTGCTCAAGAGCCTCCGTGGCCCGTTCAGCGGCCAAGTGAGCGGAGCGATGAACATTCGAATTCGTCTCGGTGTAGAATTGATCCATCGCGTCCAGTACTACCTGCGGCTTCTGCGAGGTCGCAGCCGAATCCAGATAGGTCAGTTCCTGATCTTTGAAATACGGGAAGTCCTTCCGTAGAGCCGCCCGTGCTGCAACCCCCACCACAGCAAATAGCGCCAACCAACCTAGTCCATACCGGGAGCCTTTAGCTTCCCTAGGAGATGAACTAAGCCGAAGATTCGACCGGTAGAGGACATCGGAACGAGGCTGTGATAGAGCAACCGACTGGGTCCGCGATGGTGTCAAGAAAAAGTAATTCACATAAAGGGTGGCAACCATCGCCCACCCGAATAGAGCCGCCACGACAACTCTTCGTGAGCGACTACGAGAAGTCATCAGCACGAATTAAGCATAACTATCATCAGGACAGAGCGCCACCCCCTTCACCATCATCATTATGCAACGCAAAGCCATGGCCGTGGAATGTATTGAGACTAGCTAGACGAGAAAAAATCGGAATAACGAGTTACCAGACTGCGAGTAGACCCTTCGAGACGAGCCTTTACTGAATCATGGTAAACCCCAGATACCCCTCATACCTTGATCCCACCGTCAACAATATATTGGCAACCGAGCTCGCTCAGCTTTATGTGTGCTTGGGCGTAGTCGCAGAGGAACTTGTTGTTGTCCTTAGCATAGACCTCGACGTATGGCCTGAACGACGGATCCGTGACAAGGCAATTGTCACTTTTGAGGACAAGGAGACCGTTATCAACCTTGCTCTTGGACTTAGCATCCTCCATGATGTTGATGAAGTACTCATTGTCAAACTTGAGCCATTTCCTGCACCAAGAACGACCACCCTTCATACCGATACCCTCCTTTCCATCAAGACGAGCCACCTCGCTGCCGTTGGTGTATTGAGTACCGCGCCCAGCAGCCTCCTCAACCGTGCCAGAACGATCTTTAAAGGCCCTACCGATAGTATGACCACCAGAAAGAGCGACAATCTCCTGATCATTGAAGCCCATACGGTAGAAGATCTTCCTCAAATGGTCGGCGCCTTCAGGCATAGGAAGCCTCCCAGCTGGGGGGCACTCCTCAGGACCGGAGATGTCCTTCCTGCCGAACTTCATATAAGGAATAATATCAGGCCCCCCACAGTGTTTCAAGGCGCATGCCGATGCCAACTGGATGGTATCGGCCCAAGACACACCGGGGTACTTGGCCTTAATCGGCTGAAGGAACTTCAGCGCCTTCGGAAGCCCCGCGTTGGCAGCGTCAGACAGCTCTACATCATAGATGATGCCGCCGCTGGCCCCACCACACTGCGGCCAAGGCAGAGACTTATCATAAGTCCCACTGTCGTGCCAGGCGAAACGGACAATGATGGGATCACAGTTCAGCCTATCGATCATGGCAGTCAACTCGTCCGCCATTGCTCTGATGTCCTTAGCATACTGCACTTTGTCAACGGCCCCACCAACGGTGGTAGTGGCTGCCCTCGCCGACTGACTGTTGGAAGCTGCCGCGGGCACGGGTCTAGAAGTGCTGCCTCTGCAGGAGTCACAGATGTTTCCCATGGATGAAGGACGACTCGAATACAAACTCAATAAATCACCCAAGTTATCAAAACTCCATCAACACGAACGAAATGCCCAAAGCAGTGTGCCCATGGATAACCCCAGACTATAACATAACAACCTATCACAAGACTTGAACATTCTGGGGGTAGGCATTCATGCAACACAACTCAGTGTGTTGATAATTCACCCACAAAATTTTCCAAGTGAGCACACGCTTTAGCGCGCGCCATTATAGTTATTGAGTATTTCAAACCCCACGGTGCGCAGGGGAACCTCGATCGGGATCGTCTGGTAAGGCGGATGAGGAACTGGTCGTCTAGGAAGAGCCACAGAGGTCGATGTATGGTCACGTCCAATATTTCAATCCTCCGGTTCCTTCCATCCTTGCTTTGAGCCGTATCCACGACTATGCAGAAGTGCGGTATAATACAATCCGGCAATGGCAACTTTTTGCTGATATTGTGGATTTGCCAAATACTATAATTTCTGACAGTCTCACCTTTTTGCTCTTTTGTATGTGCTGCTTTCTGAGGTATAAAGTAGCAACCACATTTACAACCTAGCAATTTCTGGTATAGGTTTTAGCAACCAAATGTTGAAAGTAGCAAATCATAAGTGTTTTCCAGCAAGTCACTCTGTTTTGCTCCTTTTTTGCTGCATTGTATATTTCCCCGGAGTGTTTTACACGCTGGCACTTTTGCGCAAGTGTGCTCCTTCGCCCGCACGTTTTCGTTATTCTGGCAAGTTGTGCTCTTTTCCTGTTTAGTATGTTTCGCGTTGTGATTATGTAGTCTGGCATCTTTCAAGGTTTGCTCTTGTGTGATGTTCCTGCATGAAATATACAAATTGGCAGTTGTCGGTATGTGACAACGCTGCGCTACTTTTATGTTTCGGCTATTTGCTCTCTTGTAACTTACACCCTACGGGAATATATACTAGAGTTTTGCTCATTCAAACTGCGTCTCTGTTAGCGTTATTAGCAAACTTGTCATTTTGCATTGTTCGTACGAGTAATATACAATCTAGCAAACTTAGTTATGGGGTAGAATTTCTCGTTCGATCACAGTATTGCGCCTAACATACACTAATGCATGCTCCAACACGGAGCCGCAGATAATCACGAGTTTGCAGTCAGAAACTATCTATGGCGAGTCGCCAACAAAGAATCTCACGTGAACTGCTCTACGTTCACGTGTGTGTATTGTGCTCTTGGAGCACCCGCACAATCCCTCTCTGGGCCCGTCTAGTCTACTATTGTTCACGCCGCTACGTTGCGTATGGTGTTCGCTTGGACTACTTGAGTACTTGCCACGCTCCACTACAGCGCACATCTTTGCCCGCAACTCATTCTACTATGCGGTTGTCAGCACTCCCATAGGCTGGCTGAATTCATCGTCAGTAAGGCGGGGCGCTCGCTTCATTGAGCAGATTAGTACATTCCTTGTTAAAATTCCAGGTACTCGTAGATAGGTTATGTGAAGATACTACAACATAGGCCAGCTGGGAGAGTTCAATGTCCTCGTATTCATCACTTTACTGGGAATCCGAAATAACAATTTCGTAAAAGCACCAACTGGTCTGCAACTTTCGCGTGATTTCTCCACTTATATACGTATGCATGGTGGGAGAAAAGAACAAGGTTGAATTACGGGTTGTATTTCGAGGCTCGAAATTCGAGCTATACATCGATACCCCATTTGGTGTTTAGTATGGAAGCGGAATGTTCTCCATGTGTTATTCAGAGGCTCTCACACTCCGAAAAGAGGCGACCCTTGTGCAGTTTTCAATATCTTGTTCGTTCAGTTCCTTGGGAAATTTTTAACGAGTTGAATCAGCGGCGTGTTAGAGGCAGTAACGAATACTGATGCTATCGCGCTGTCTCTTATTTCTATGATGCACGCACGCGCATCAGCATGAAAATTGCCGGTAGAACGCATGCGCATCTTCTCGAACTTCTGATGATGTACGTGCACTATTAACTTACCTCGTTATTTCTGGTCTATGCTCGATCTTTCGAGCTCTCTTATTGCTTCATATCGTCAGTACGTCATTACATCTTTCCTCTATGTCTAGTGTTGCCAGTCGGACTCGGGCGAAGCGGGCACGTACCTTATCTCCGCACCCACATGGAGATTCACAACAACATTAACGCCTACAGGGACCCCACGTGTCGCGTAAATGTGTGTGACATGCTATATGAACGCTTGTTAGAGATCAGCTCCTTCTGATGTTTATGACAAGTAAAATGTCCGAGTAAGTTGGTCCCTCTGTGGGAATACATGCATATGGTCAGCTACATGTGTAGGTGACATTTGTCGAAGTTTCGAGGAAAATTGAGGGGAGTCTCAATGGTTCCTGTACACTTCTACCCGAATTTGTATTTAGACTTCTATAATCAGTGAGGAAACTTCTGGACTCAGCTGAGGGAAGCGAACATTTATTCCAACACTGTTTGGACCATGTAGTTTCATCTCGCTGTTATTGTCTTCAATAACACCAGCATGCTCGTCACCAGCAGACAGGCTGAACATCACATCGATACGAACTTGAGAGTTGGGAAGTTCCACTTGGGTGCTGATCCTAGAAATATTGAGGATACTGACGGAAGTAGGACCTGGCATACCATAGGCTCGAAACGTGTATATGGCTTACATTGGAATCGGGTATTGAGTTCTATCACACACTAGGTACGACCACAAGCTCCACGTCTAGGACTAATCACATCAAGAACTTTGGTCTGCCGCCTCCGTCGAAGATCGAGCATTCAGAATGCGAATGGGATCATGGTACGGTTGAGCGTATGAACCATTCCGACGCAATTTTCTTAGTAGGGGGATTTGGTCCCACCAGTTTGCCGGAAATTTCTGGTGTTGTGGTTGACATGAATGCGAAATGCGTCCCGAAATCCGCCGATTCGGTGAGTCTCAACTCTTGCCTATGATCGAGCTCGCTCCAAGTAGATGTCACTGAAGGACCTTCGTGCTGCACTTCAAGCTTCGCACAAGCGTATGATGGCCATCGTCGAGGAGGAGAGAGAATTAAATATGGACGGGAGTGCCTTTACTGGCGCAACTACGACCAATGGCCTCTGTCAACAGCTCGAAAGCTCTGAAGGATATGTCAGGCTGAGACAATGGGCGGAGCGAAGCGGGTTCGGAATAAGCGGAAATTAATACTATGATGTTTGATTCGATTACCAGTCAATGCACGTTGGTGTTGTCATGTATTAGAGGTTAATTAGCAAGTCATGTCTCATTGAAGCCAGTCTTAATCCGGGGCTGATGCTTATAGGTGTCGAAATAGGAAACATCATTCTTTACATAGTAGTCATTATCGATGCCATTTCTGTCTACGCGGTGAGATTTGTGTTAGTCTACATGCGGTGATTACAGTAGAGCAAAAACGAGAGTTTCATTATCTATGGTAAGTGTCTTTGCGTTGGGAACACGCTCAGCCATGGAGTTATTGATAACAACACATTGACCGAATGGATTTGAACTTTTTTGAGCTCTTGTTCAACAAACCTACTTGTTTATCCCTATATTGTGACCAACACGAAGCGTCAAGAATGAGTAGAAATCTGTATGTGGAAGGATCGGAAGATCCGCGTGAAGATCTTGCCAGAAAAACAGTAGTGTACTTCTTAACTGACTACCAACCGACAATCGGAGGTATCCCTCTCGTTTTTCGAGCGGAAGCCACAAACGACACCCGCAGGCAGGATTGACATATCACAACATGGGAACAACAAACGATACTGTTTCATCCCTGCTGCTATCCGCGTCTTCATTCAATCTATTCAAGCGGAGTCTTCCCCCAGAGGTGTAGACATATCCTCAAGGCAGTCAGCAGCAGTTCTTACTTCCTGAGGTACATCAGGTTGTAAGTTCCTCTGTCGCATAGTAACGGGTTTGTAACACCCAGTATACGAAGCGCTCGCGAACCCTTCACCTCGCTCACGATCAATGGGGACGAAGACTTTGGCCGGTAAAGATGATGCCACTTTGAAATGACGCTCCTCGAGATAACACCAGAATAGGATTGTAGTACAATCATTGTACCAATGAACAAAGGCAACATCAATGGTGCTACTACTGCGGCTTCTTTGATCGCCAAAACGCCCATGACAGTGAACTCTGCGGAAATCAGACAAGCCAAGATGAATCGGATCGCTCGAGTCCACAATTCACCCTTAGTGTCGCAACTTGGGGCGTACACCACCGCAAACTGATTCTTGTATACGAGGGAAAAGAACGAGAAAGCCATAGCCATCACGAAGCTGGATATTGGCGACATTACAAAATACACGAATAGTATCATGAAAAACAACATGATGGTAGAAAGCACTCTGGGATGGTTCAGCTCGACAGGTGCGCTCAGAGGATCTAAGAACAACCATGGTCTGCTGCGCTCCTTCTCCGACAGGTTAGATCCCAAGCATCTTCTGAACAGGGCTAGAAGCGCTGGTACCAGGCGTGTGAGTTCAATGCCCAAGCCAAGACCGATCTGGACGAAGACAAACGACATGAAGTAGTAGGACTGTTGTGGTAGGTAAACAGACAATGCATTCTGCAATGTTCCTAGAAGGTTCTCTACCACATCTCGTAGCCCGGAGAGCAGACTTCCCGCGATAGCACTGACGAAAAATGCTTGGATGATGTATAGAAACGCCAGCTTCCCAAAAAGAGAAACTTCTAAGGCTGTCATCGATACGTGACCTTCCCACTTCGAGAAAACCCCCAATATGAACGGCAGGAGCTCGTTCAACAGCGCAAGGGCAATGGGGGATAAGAGTTGGAGTACGATTCCGAGAGGAGGCCAGGCTTCTAGAGCGCTTTTGGAGGAAATGTAATTCTTCCTTCAGGAAGGACACTTTCGATATAGACACAACGAAAGTGACAGGAATAGTCCAGAAAATGCACAACGCCGTGGTGGCCGCCAGAGACATCACAATACCTAATTGCTGATGGAAATGCGGCATACCAACATTGCTCCAGTAAACACCATCAGGTAGCGGCGCTGATTCAATGCATAGAGCATGAGGTTCGTCATAGAGCTGCATTTGCAAGGCCTTTGCAGTGAACTGTAGTGACTTGAATGTGACGAAGCCATCAGAGAGGACTCGGAAGCTTTTCGATGGCACGAGCTTCTTCAGAGGGACCAACGGCACCATGTTCGCCCCCGATGAGATGTCCAGCACTTTACGCCTTGGGCTTTGCTCATCGACCATTTCCTGGAAACACTCAGCATCACTGAAATCTCTCTCGATAAAATCGTTCAACACAGTCCGTTGTACTTCAAGAACTTCAATAACATCAATTTTCTCTTTAGAGAAAAAGCTCGAGCGCTTTTGAGGACGGACACCTCTGTGATGCCATATGTTGTATTCATGTTCCAACATCAGAACGGGCTTATTTCGCTCTCTCACTTTCTTGCTGAGAACTCCCAAGTCAAGAGCAACTGCAACATCAGCCACTCCACCAGGAATGAGCTCTTCAAAAATTCACCTAGTCGATGATTCGAGCGGAGCGATGGAGGTATGTGTCTCACAAAGACACTGTAGTTAGCGACATTCTCGCGGCACATAGAAGCATGCCGTTTGGCTGTGTACCACGAAAACTCAGTATATATCAAATACAATGTTATTGAAAAAGTAATGTAGGAAGCAATCAGAGTAGACACCATCGACGGACTACGGGTGGCCAGGTGGCCCACGCTCCACCGAGCGAGCTCATCTTCATTGGCCGGTCCGGAACCCTGGTATTTATATACTGGTATCAAGTAGATAGCATTCAAACAGCCAACAACGGCGACTCTGGTACCAAGTCGCAATAGTCGGATAAACGCTATCGCGTCGAGGCCAGCGTTTTCGAGAAGCTCGTCATCAGTGATCTTAATAATACCAGGTATCCACCCCATGAAAGCACCATAAACTTTCGAGGACAGCGGACATCGTAACTTCTCTATACACCGACGAGGCTGGTAAAGTGACGGGAACCTGCCCCTCAGAGGACTGTAGATGAAGACCGCGGCAACAAAAGTACCCAAAAATATGGCACCAGACAAAAGGACGGCGCTCTGACCAAGCTGGGTACTTACGGTAGGAGTTGCTGACATAGCGACAACACGAAGGGCAAATCGCAAGTCTTATGCGATCGGTCACCTGCATAGGTCACGTCGAGAACACAGACACAAAGGCTACGCACAACAACCAGTAGCAACGTAGGAAAACATGCACATGGTCAACTACGTCAACAATTTTTGCGGATGGAAGTGTTGATATTTTCACACTTCCGCCCAAAATCGTATGTAGAAATGCATGATGAAGTGACGAAACCAAACATATATTCCAACACTGAACGGGCATGGGCTTCATAGTTGAAATACGAGTTCAGTTAGAAATGTACACAAACCTGCGAGAACTTCCTAAAACTCCTCCAGACTTACACATTGGAACACATGTAGTTGTCCAGGTGCATATTTCCCCACATTCTACACCCATGCGTAAAAACCATGAAGTGGAGAATCCCATTCTGACGACTTCTCCTCAAACCAAGATGCCAATGAAAGACGCCGACATACATATAGCAGCGCTATGATTCCAGAGAGACGGATTGGACTATTCCAGCGGGGCAAGCAGTGTTGAGGGTCGGTACGCCTTCCTTATCTCCCATTGAGGGAGCGCCACAAGTAGAGGACTTGTAGGAAGAACTTACTTATCAATATAATCAATAGTAGGCTCACTTGACGCTAGGCTGAAATATGCACTGCGACATGGAGCAATAGCCAAGGAGACAACTTACACAGAAACAAACACAATACTTCGCTATAGGATGCAATCATCCCTCTACACAGATACGACGGACTTCCGTATGCATAGAACTAAATACGAGCACAGCTAACCTCGACATATGGAAAACCCAGACCATCTCCGATATTACTCGGAAGACCGAGAACTATGTGCTACTCAGAAACTTATTAATATCATGCAGAACACATGAAAGCTTTTTCAACCAAGTCACAGACGAATCGATGAGCGTCTTCTTTCCCACCAGTCAGATAGTGCTTGCTGAAGTCTGCGATGTTCACGCGTACAACCTCGGCGTTTAACAAGCGACTCACGATCCTTCCCTTCCACACGGCTCGACCGTGCAAACGTCGGGTATCCGCACCTCGGGCAGCTCTTAGAAAATGCGAGGGCCCGTCCGCCTCGACAACAATGCGTCGCCCATCAGATCGAGATATCAGTGCATCTACCGGACCCACTGCAGTTGCGAACTCTTGTTGAACCTTGACACTCTGATGGAGCCCTTGGAGTGCTTCAAACACTTGAAGTTGGAAGTGGCTCGGGCTAGGTGACGGCCAGACGATTCCACACGGGATCGCGTCACCAGCAGCAACAGCGCAACTAACTCGTGCTTGGTCAACCTGCGATGCTCCTACTTCTGATAGAGTCTCCAACAAGTATACAGGAATGGCTTCAAGGCACTTGTTGGCTAAGTCGTGCTGTCCCATAATCGCGAATGACCCTGCCAGTTGAGCAAGATCTTCAATACCACACGCTGGTAGAATTCTATGCAGATACTTAAAGAGGGTCTCCATACAATCAGTCGGTGCTAGCGGGGATAGCCGAGACCAAGCCCATACGATGGAGGCATAGTGTTTCGGAGAGACAGGAGTGTCAAGGTCAATGGCAGCCACCAGTTTGATAACAAGGTCGTCATCGAAGTACCCGGCATCAACCAGAGCCCACAGACATTTGGACACTTGTGCTGCACTACGCGGAGTAGTACCCTCCAACCAGGTGCACAAGAGTCCCACTTCTTCGCGAGACAAGACAGCTATTGCTGACCAGAACAGTGTCGGGTGGTCCTTAGCAGAAAGTTCGCGTTCGCGCTTCATCGCCGATCGAGCTAATTCACGAAGCAGTCCGTTGTCGTCTTTAGCATAGCACCAACACAAGGCGACCATAGTAGTTGTGTTCATTTCCGGAATTTGTCCCCGTAACACTGGCGCTAGACAACTGAGCAGTTTGGAATAGAGATGAGCAGCAGCATGGTCTCGACTAGACCACACGCCGATACCCCACAAGCAGTTAGCGATGCCCCTAGGCTCGAATTCAGGGAAACGTGACAACAGATCAGTTCCAAGCGCCACAACTGCATGCTCAACGGAAGCTGAATCTAGCCAATTACACGGAGTTTTCCCAAACGCCCAAAGAATATTCGCCATACTCTGAGGTGATAACAGAGTTCGCTTTGTTGAGACCGACAGCCAACTCTTGGAGACAGTGTTAAAGACCATACGACTACCCTCGGGACACTCCAATGTTGCTAACGCCCACAGAATGTTGGAAATGTGCTGGCCTTCATATTCCGCCGATTTGTTCTCGATGTGGCCGCTAACAGAATGTAGTGCAATCAAGTTGATACTGTGTTCAGCTTTACCATATGCCCATACTATATTGGCAACAGATTGAGGACTGAAATCGTCAAGGTTTTCGAGACGACTCAGTGCGGACTCCATCACTTGTCTCACGTCTCTCGATTGGAATCTCTCCTGGTGCTTAGCAATGGCGTACAGAGCGGATGACAAAGCTTGCGGCGACATTGTACACATATGGTCTCCCGCCAGCGCTAACAGCTGTGAGTATAGTTTCCTGTCGGCCGAATTCCTCCCGAGTTTACCGAGAGACCATAAGAGCATCCCATACTGGTCTGGTTCATAAAAGTACAGTCGTTTTGGTTCAAGTGCCGTGCCAACGAGGCAGCGCACGAAAGGCAAGTCCGAATTCTCAGCCACTCTAGCCAAGCGTTGTAGTGCCGCCGTAAAATGCATAGGATGCCAGTCCTTGAACTTGAGGCTCTGGGCTGTGGTCCCCAGTAAGATCAATTCCCTTCGAGACGCTCGGCATATCCGATCTAGTAATCGCGGTGGAGAGGAAGATGATAAACGATGTTGGGCCATCACAAACAACTACATGCTCGGAAAACAACGCTTGTTCAGAGAATTCATTCTGGAAATTTGATTGTATTTTGAAGACAAAATTCCCAGGTAAAAACGTCACAGTCGATTCCTATTGAGCACCCAATACTCGAGCTGTGAAGTTAGTAACAAAAGTAGCCGCATCTACTCCATAAGTCTACGACGTTATAAGGTGGACTGTTTTCCAGGCTCTGCCACCTCATTCCATGAGGACAAGAGACAGTGGACGTGCTTTCTTCAGAGAGGCATTCTTGAGCTTCTTACGCATGGAACCGCTAAATTTAGTCTAATTCGCTCTCAAAATCCTCCTTGAAAAACACCTCAAGAAGAGTTCTTCAAATCATCGACTTATTGAGCTTTGAAGAGATCCTCGAAAGAGGCCCCAAAAATGTATCCTGGTTGGCCTAAGTCTCGCAGAAAAGAATTGAGTCGTAAAGAACAGAATGACGCCTGTCTCCCGAGGTCTAGCTTTCTATACCAATCTCACTATTTCCCCAAGTCCTCCCACTATCATCGCAACACAAACAGGTCTGCACGATCTACCAAATTACGAGCCGGATACCCTGGTCGAGCTTTCGCCTTAGGCATCCGAGCCAACGTGGATCTGGGACGAACAGCTCGTAATGTAGCCGATTTCAACGTGGGGACGTGGCCGGCATTCTTGAATGGCAACTGAGTAGTCAGTTGGAAACTCGGCACTGAAGCAGTGCTGGCCTTTCGACCCAGCGACTGGTCGCCATTGGCGACCAGTTTTGTGAACAAAACGAAATTGTGAGCCTCGATTACTTCTCCTCATGCTGCCTCATCGCTGCCTTCAACGTTATATAAGCCACGAGGGAATAAAATCATGAATAGCGAGATAGCCCACGTACTGTACGTTGCGTACATTATGGAACTTCCCCTGAAGTATCTATCTATTAGCCACGTTGGATGGCAATTGGTGTTGTCGACCATGATGCTGATCATTGCTTTGAGCTAACGTCATATAAAGAGGAGCTCATCATTGACAGTATTCCACCATCCAAACATTCTATATAATGCTTTCACAGTCAGAGTCGGATCATCGGTGAATTTAGTCACCAGTATTGCTACGGTAGGCATGATAGTATCATGAGGTTACCTCAGTAGAAACTAAGGTATCTTGAAACGTCATTATGCTGCGTTGGAAAGGTCACGAAATAGTGCTCAGGAAGATTCAACGCTGCAATGGTTGTATGCGGAGTCGCTGGATTGGGAGCACCCTCCACCGAAGCGGGTAGCTCAGGCCAGAGTTTCAATTTATTCTAGTGCGCAACCGAGCTCGGCAGTCAGGCCAGGCATCCCGTAACTATTCATGTGGACAGGAGGCTCTAGTGACTAGTGAAGTCGCTTGATGGTTATGAGTGAGAGGCTATCTCACACCCTGTGAGATAGCCTCTCTAAATGACTTGCGAGTCACAAATCACTGTAAATAACAATGAGCAATATCGAGCGGTGCCAGCTAGGTATACAGCATCTAGCCCCAACTTGAAACAACACAACTATCAATCAGGCGAAAAGCAATGAAGTGTAAAGACCGTAAGGTGATGGTAGCACTGCCATTCGCCATCCATAATCACACTAGTCCGGAACTTGCTCGCGAGACTGATACGGCACAACAGATTCATCTGAATGGACTTTTGAATCACGAGTGCCTTTTTGACATATGGAAGGCCGCCGACTCACCGAGCATAGAACGAAATTCATGTTTGAAAAATTTGACCATTCGCAAATCGCGATGAGAATCATCGAAAACCTCACATTTTGATGCCACCATCTACGATGAACTCAGAACCGAGCTCGCTCAGCTTGATATGAGCCTTCTCATAGTCCTCTAAAAACTTATCATTATCCTCTGCATAAAGTTCAACATATTCTCTGAAGAAAGGATCTGTGACAAGAGCGTTATCGGTCTTCAGCACCAGCAAGCCGTTGTCCTCATCGGAGTCCTTTTTGGCATCCTCCATGATGTTGATGAAGTACTCATTATCAAACTTGAGCCATTTCCTGCACCAAGAGCGGCCGCCCTTCATACCGATACCCTCCTTTCCATCAAGACGAGCCACCTCGCTGCCGTTGGTGTATTGAGTACCGCGTCCAGCAGCCTCCTCAACCGTGCCAGAACGATCTTTGAAGGCCCTACCGATAGTATGACCACCAGAAAGAGCGACAATCTCCTGATCATTGAAGCCCATACGGTAGAAGATCTTCCTCAAATGGTCGGCGGCGCCGTCAGGGCTGGGGAGTCTCCCTTCGGGAGGACACTCCTCAGGACCAGAGATGTCCTTCCTGCCGAACTTCATATTGGGGAGAATGTCAGGCCCCCCACAGTGTTTCAAGGCGCATGCCGATGCCAACTGGATGGTATCGGCCCAAGACACACCGGGGTACTTGGCCTTAATGGGCTCGAGGAATCTTCGACCTTTGGCCAACCCAGCATTTGCCTCATGCTTGAGTTCGGCATCAAATCTGATTCCACCATTGGCCCCACCACACTCCGGCCAAGGGAGGGACTTATCATAAGTCCCACTGTCGTGCCAAGCAAAACGGACAATGATGGGATCACAGTTCAGCTCGTCAATCATGGCAGTGAGATCATCTGCCATGGCATGGAGGTCTTTGGCGTATTGCTTGGGATCACTCTGTACCATATTGAGGCGCGACAAAGCTAACAACGAAGCGAATATTCAGAATCAGAACACCTGCAGTAACATTAACATAGCGAGGCACAAATTTCGTCTGCTTCCGCTGAACCACGAGACACGAACTGCTGCGGTTCGGCTGCGTGACGTGACGCACGTGGTCAACAGTCATGATCGGGTCGTCGATTGATACAATAGGTAGTCGATGCTAGAATCCCAAAGGTAGACACGGTTGTAAGATAATACTTGGCTGTGGTCGACGAAGTTGGCAGGGGTGCCAACAGTAAGCCTCCAAAAAAATCCCTCGAAACCGATCGTTTGACGCATGCACACGTTAGCAAAGGATGAGGCTTTCGCGCCCGCCTTATACTGTCTATTCAGCACAGGTAGGGCTGCACAGGCGGACAACAACGAAAAGGTAGCTGACGATGGCTGAACGGAGTCTATTTACATATAGCGACCAATCGATACAATGCAGCTGGCAGACTGGCCCACAGGAGCGGGCAGATCCTCCTACCACAAGCGTGGACCACACACGCATAAGCATAGCGGAGCGGAGCCATGTGCGAGTTCATTCGTCCCCGCACCCACCGCCTATTTTGACAATTCACTTCATCTTCAAGCTTGTGCACAAGTTCAGTCTCTGCACTATTACGAGGACGTCCAGTGCGGGCCTCGAATGCTTTAGATCCAGAACCGTTCTGGAGAGTCCGAATTCGCACATTCACATGCGAGCGGCGACTCGAGCCGATTTCGGGAAAAGTTCTCCCGAGAACAACCAAACTAGCGAAGACCCCTCTCGCCATTATTATACTCAACCGCCATGCTCGTTAAAATAATCTACTGTAATAGTGTGTTCAGAATCTAGTTCGATCACAGATATGATTAAGTCGGGCGGCGTGGTTCATGTTGTGCTTCTGAGTTCGGCACGCCATGCCGTACCTGAGTAAGACTAGAAAGGGCCGCGCACCCCATAAAGGTAAAATCACCAGCAGTTCTCACGACCTCGGCATCGTTGAGGTAGTTGATCGTCAGAGAGCGCCTTGCGATACTGGAAGATACACTGCTTGACAGCCTCGTAGCCGCACTTAGAGCATACATAATGATCATTGTAGAAATTCCGAACTTGGATCTCTTTAGCAGCGCCATCGACTTCAAATTTGAATTTCGCATTTTGGTCTCGACCGAGCACTTCTCGCGTCACATCGCCGATATGCTTGTGCACCCCCCTCAAGTGCTCCTCCAGGGCAGTAGCCTCAAAGCTGTTGTCACCCAATGCTCGGAAAAGGGTGACGTAGCCACCAGATGTATCCAGGTCCTTCAGCTTCCGCAGATTCGGGTCAGAGTTCCACAACCGGGCCGGGGAGGATGGAAGTGGCTCGACAAGAGCTCGCCTTGCTGCAGCCAGACATGGCCTGGTGGTCGCTGGAGTACAGAAGGCCTGAATACTGTATAGGAGGACAGTCACGGTTGAGGTTAGTGTGCATTCTCACCTTGGTGCAGATAGCACAACGTACGTGCAAATCTGGCCTATCAGGGACGACATTCTGGCAAGTGTTGCAAGACACATGCAGGGCGTTTCGAACGCACCGGGAACTGAGAGGAAGTTGGCAAATGAAGCGCTCTCCGCCCGATGGGACTTACCCCGGTACAGGGTCGAAAGAATGGCAGTAGCCACAGACTGAACACGGTACTTGTTGGAACATACCAAAGGCCACTGAGGACAGATAATTAGGAATGACCGCTGAGATGAGTGCTACTAGCCAGGCCTAGCCCCACATCATCATCAGGAGAGGAGTACTCGTCTTCATATTCATCATAGGAATCATAGTCGGTGTAGGATATGTCACTACGGCCTACCGTCCCCGCTGAGGTGGCAGAGCCGTGAGCAGCCAATAGGAAGCCACGATTCACTTTACTGAGGTCGTAACTTCACAAGAGAGAATGTGGATGAGCAGAACACGAACAGTACTCGTTCTTCAGCAGAGTGTCCGAATCGTCCGACTGCCGCTTATCCTGATCCGATCGTCTATCTAGACAAGGACAGGGTTAAAGATCAGGAAGGAATGCACATACGGTACCTCGAATCTTGTCACCCTCCACAAGCTTCTCTGTAAGGTTGACCACAGTGCGATTGGGCTTCACACTTCTCACTCTAGATCGGCACTGAGGGCAGTCGGTGTGGCGCTGCAACCATTGGCTCAGACAAGACGAACAGAAATTGTGTAAACAGTCCAAGACCATCACCGGCCGATACATCAAGTCCTGAAAAGACATCCTCAACGACCATGAATCAGCATAGAACGGTTCACCTGGCAGATAGCACAACGTAGTTCCTCCGCGATCTCCTCCTCGCCTGGTAACTCCGAAGAGCTCGAGTCCCTCCTGCGCTTTTGCCCTGATAGCTGCGGAGTCGTCGGTTGTCGTGCAGGCTGGGTCGACGGAGCAGAAGCGTCACCCAGGATCAGTTGATATCCCAATATCGGGCCTGGCAGTTATCATATATTCACCCAAAGTTCACCGCGACACCCTACCTCTGTTGGGAGGGAATAGAAATATCATCTCACTGTCAGCGATACAGGACACCCCACTACGGCCAACCTTACGGCACGTCTGCAAAGTCCTACCTACATACGTCCCACCGCGACTCCGATTGCTAACGATCCAACCAGCAACTGAAACACGTGTCGGCGGGGAATCTGTGGTCGATGAGCCCACCTGACTGGCCTGGCAGAGGGGCGCCCAAAGAGAGCTCGAAATGAAATTTGGAGACCTGTGGGACGTTGATGTTAACCTGAGGGAAAAGACTAGCTTCATCCAAGCAGCAACGGCCATTCTCACAACTTTCACGTTATCGCCGCGCTTCGGTGGGCCACGGCCGACTCTGACGCACGTCTCGGATGGAAACTCTATGTCGGGAAGAATGTGGGGACACAGCGATTTCAGTCGGCGACCGACGGCAGCTCTCCCGTCACTATTCCCACCTAAGAGTGACCCCCAACAGTAACAGGCAATGCTCTATCACCGAAGCCGCTCTCACCATTGATAGGATCGCCCGGGGGCTGCAGAGCCGAGGAAGACGACGAGGACGGGGCACTCCCACCGGGACCGATCATCCCATAAAAAAGGGAGAAAGTGTCTAAGACTTTTTTCAGTGGGCTGTGGAACCCAACAGATCTACGAGCAAACCCAACAACCCCATGTACACTCACACGACACCTTCGAACGACATGGGTATGGTGATGCATGAGCTGCTACTGCTGCTACTGGTCGGCATCGCTGTATTGGCCCAGGGCTTGACAAGGGGCCTCGTCGAGGGCTGCTCCCGTCTTATGATGTCTTCGCTCTTGTGAGGTATCCTCTCGCGTTCCTCTTGTCGCCAGTGTTCCTGGGCGCTCCACACGCCTCTTGTGGCTTCAGGAGGTGGATTGTCTTCTGCCTCCCCTTCACCCACTCGGGCTGTGAGCCCTCCCACTGCCATATCAGTGAGACGGATCTCAGAGTCACTCTGAGCTTCCTTGACTTGATGTATAATCCCATTAGCCCACCGCCTGGCCTCTGTCTTAGCAGCGCTGACCAGCCGACCCAGCTCAATCTTCTCAGCCTTAGCCGTAGCCAACGCTTGCTTCAACAACCTGAGCCCGCACATAAGCAGCATTAGAGTAGAAGCAATGACTCACCGTACGTCCTCTCGGTCCCTGCCCAACTCCGCCATGAGGGCTCCACGCCGACCAACCATCTCCCCAACCTGCCTCTCCAAGTCTCGACACTCCTCTGCTATCCTGTGCTTCCGATCGAGCAACCAGCCTCTTTGGTCCAGGGCTTTACGAAGTTCTGTTCGAACGTTCTTGATGGTTTTTCTGAGTGCAGCAGCTCTGCTTCGCTCCGCCGATATATCTTGTTTTAGTGACAGGCAGGCCACTTTGCATTCCTCAAGTTCATACACGAGTTTCTGTCGGGCAGACTTCGCTCGATTCAGGGCCTCAGTCATCGCCTCAGACCCAGGCTTCAACCCAAGGATCCTCCTCATTGACGTCGTTGCCCCCTTGGGACACAGCAGTGCCCTGGTCATCAGGCTTGGGGATGCTTCTCGAGCTCTGTCGTCTCCTGTCAGCTCTAGCTGGACGCAGACCGCTGTCATTCTCGACACGCACAGCAGCCACCTCTAGATCTTCCTCAAGGGCCCTATTATACTGATCTAGTGCACGGAAGAATGCAGTTGCTCTCTCGTCCGGCTGCTGTGGATGAACTTCCCGAGAACCCATTCGATGATAAGGGCAGCTGCTGCGGAAAAACACCGACGATCAACCCAACAGAGTGCAAGATCGAATACTCCGCCAAATCATCATAGCCGATGAGGAGCCCGAATCACTATGGAGCTGACGTCATCAAGTAGTCCGCTAGTCCTGAAAAGACATATACAGCTGTATACGTCTCGAATGGCCGGAGGCTCCCAAACACTTAACGATTCTGAGAAATGAATTCGAAAACAAAACGATTGGAAATTAAGACCAGCACAAGTACATTCATAAACGCAAGAGGGACGTCGCAGGAAGACGGCCAAAGATTCGGTTGTGACATTCAACGCAACGAGGTAGAGCTACGGGAGAAACATTCTAAACAAGGGAGTCACCCAGTAAGCAGTGATATTCCTCCTCATCCGTCCATAGCAAGCAAGGCCTCTTTCTCTCTCTGCTTGGCCAACTGCTTCTTCTCCTTCTTAGACTTCTGCTGTAGCTTCTGCACTCCGCTAGCCGCGAGCTTCACATTGCTCACGCCTATCGCATCTGACGCTTCCTCCATCGGCACGAGGCGTACAAGATCCAATGCATGGCGGTCGATGGCAACAGGCGTCGCCTCCACACCATCCTCTCCCTCAGGAGCCTTCGCTGCTGCTGCTGCCCTAGCAGACTTCAACTCTCCTTCCACCTGACTCTGCAATAGCTTCAACCCCAGCTGGGCTGCCTTGCCCCGCTTCATCTGGCCCGGAGTGAACTTCACTTTAATTGGAATCTACCCCAACAGCATTGACAACAACAGCGACCAACCAGGGCTTCTACCTGAGTCATAGCCTGATAGGGAGCACACACCATGACGGCACCAAGGACCTCATCCTCTCCCCACTCCGGCCACGATTGCAGTCGATCAAGTGTATGGGCTATCCCACCGCCCGAGGTGACCTTCGCCTCCTCTTCATCTTCCTCTTCCTCCTCCTCTTCCTCGTGGTCATCAACTTGCCGACTACTGTTGGCCTGTGCCTCGGCAGCAGCATTCGGGCAGGCACTCGCTAGATGGCCCTCCTCACCGCACTTGAAGCAGATGTTCTTACCGGTAGTCACGTCTTTACTCGAAGCCTCTTCCTGAACTCGACCACGTGCATGGGGCAATCTAAAATATCTCCTACCACTACGTCGTCGTCCTCTTCCTCATCCTGTCGCTGCTGCTGCTGTTGTTGTTCCTCAACAACCTTTACCTCCTTACTGCCCATCAGCTTCATCCTGATCAGCCTCTCCTCCTCATCCTGATCTCCATACTTCTCTCTAATCTTCGCCAGCTTCTTCCGCTGATGCCGAGTCAGTGGCTTCGTCTTCCCCCCTGCTTGCTCCTTATCCCCACGCTGCCCATCTGCTGAACTCTCCGTATCTCCACCTGAAGACAGAACCTTCACTGTGCCACGAAATTATTTATCAGCAAACTCGCCTTGTTTATGCACTCCCGCCTTCTTCATCTGCTTTCGCTGCTGTCGGCTCATACCTCCTCCCTTTGACGCCTGACCACCCTCTTCCTTGCCGCCCTTCTTGATGGGCCCCTCCCCTCCCTTTGGGTTAAAATCAAAGTCTTCCACCACTCCGGGCCCCTCCTCCTCTGCTTCCTCAGTCGACACAATACGCCGCTCCTTTTCCTCTTCCTCCAATAGGTTCTCCCTCTGAACCCTCTTAGCTCGGTACCTGCATCCAAACGTGCCACCACCGCAACAGCCGCCGTTCAAGCAGCCCACTTCTCCGCACTATCATCCGTGACCGTCCACATCACCCCAAGACCCATCTCCAAGCGGCCAGTAGGAGGAAGGAAGTTCTTCTTTCCCCGAATCATAAAGCTACCCGTCGAGAGGAACTCCCCTGTTGGTGCAGTCTTCGACACTTGCTTGGCCCACACCCACCAAGCTGATGTGACGATCTTGTTGTCCCATGCTCGAGACCTACGACCAACTACTGCAACAACAACAACAGTCACAGCGGAGCGAAGCTCACCTGCATAGGGAATATTGCCCAGCCTCGGCCAACGTCCGCTGCGGAGGTTCGACTCCCCCCTTGGGCATTTTTATCACCACAGTAGCAGCACCAGCAAGATCAGCATGAACATAAATATCAGTTGGTGCTAGATACCGTCGCCATAGCAGTTCGTTCTGCTGAGCATCCCTACCTGCAAACACAACCACGAGCCCGATACCACTCCTTTCGCAACTCGTAGGCCAAAGTAAGCCATAGAGCAAACCACTCAAACAAGTACAAGCATTCTGTGCGAACAACGAGATCATCAGGATCATCAGCTAAACGGCCCTCTCCTCCTCACCTGCCAAAACCAGCAGTCGGTCGCTAGAAATGAACCAGAAAAACTTCTGAAACCAAAACTTCTTCCTCCGTTTCGCTAGCAGTTGCTTCTCTGCTCCTCCCAGTGCCGCAGCCGCCTGGTTGCCCCCAGCGCCCTTCCCTAACAAACACATACCAGTCACCAACCGGCACACCTCCACCACTTACCTTTGAGCCTTTTCTCAGCCATCTTCACCGCCCTCGCCATCTGCTCTTCAGTTTTACCCATCTTCTCCTGCATCCCCTTCCTCTTCTCGTGGAGTAGTGCGACATTAGCCTGATCAACGATTCTATGACTCCGAATAATACCAATCTTGCAGCGGCATCTGTCATTACTATGTACAAGGGGATATACAGTGTTGGAAAATAAGTTTGCTTTCATCAGCTAAGATTCGGAATATCCTCACTACATTAACAAAACCTCCACGACTCAGAGCAAAAGTGTACCAAAACCAACGACAATTTCCTTATTGTCACCAACACACATATAATGCCCCCCGCACGACCACAAACAAGACTTCGGAGCGGAGTCCACCACGGAAAGGTAACAACCCTTCTGATCTTCTATAACGTAACCCACCTGAGCCGTTCTGCCAAGGTCCAGCCATACCTCCACAGTCGTCGCACCATCGTCATCATCATCTGTGCCTACACAATTCCCCTACCACCAACGAGCCATACCAGCACTCTCCTACTGGCCGCTTTCTCAAGCACTATAGATATCCTATTCTTATCAAGGGCCAACTGACGAATATGCATCGCTAAGGGATGCCCAGCCCGCTGCTGTTGCTTCACAGCGATCGTGAGCTCGTCCCACCGTAACTATGCCAACGCTGAGCCTCCCCATACCGGTCAGCAGCAGCTACCTTTGCTGCTAGCAGGGCATTGACCATCTGAATAGCCGCATCAGCAAGTGTCGTATTAGCCTCTAACGCCACCGCCTGAGAGATGTGATATAGGCAACACCCATGCATGCAATTGTCACCTGTTCCCACAACGACTGCTGCTCCTTCTCAAGCTCCCCCATCCTACGACGTTGATCGGACTTGATATTCTCCACCTAAGCAGAACATGACCAGTGAGGGCGTGGCCGCCGCCCTAAGCTGATGATGATAATAGCGGACCTTAGATATCATTTGGCTCTGCTTCTGGACGAGTTGTCCCTCCAGTTGGGCCCGCATAAGTCGAGTGTAGTAGTCATCCACACATTCGGTGAAGGAGGGATACTCCACAACGGAAGAATCATCGCCGCCTGACAATAACCACTTAACGTCAATTTCTTACTAGTAGTAAGTTACTACTACTACTACTACCTCCTTTAAGAAGTCTCTTAAGCGGAGCATAGTCGACCATCTTTCCTCCTTCACCCTCCTCAAGACCATACCCCTTCCCCTCCTTAATAGTAGACACTTCATTCAATGCTTCATAGCACCATCCAATAGCCCGTCGTAGAATCTTAGAAGGCTCCTCCTGACACCAAAGCCCATTAATACAACCCCTCCTCTACCCCTCCTCTCCCACCTCTCCCTCTTGCATCATAGCGTTCCTCACAGACAAAGTCGCCAGTTGTGGCGAAGCAAAGGAGACCAGCCTTACAGGAGACAACCATCAACCCATAGCGATCAGCCGCCCAACCCTCCTCACCTCAGGACAGCCGAGCTCATCCCCTTCACATTACTCCGTCCGCCCAGCTCCTTCACCAGCACCTCCTCGGTGATGCTATCCACGTATTTCCCTTCCTCCCCCCCGGTCGTCGTCTCCCCCTTCTTAGCTGCCAACTCCAATGGGTACGGCACTGACACACCAACCACCTGCCCATGCTACCACCACTAGCTCTCTTACATCCAACCTCCACCTTCTCCTCATCACTATATGCATACCGTCTCAACAACATCGTCACCTTATAGGTGTTATCCATCACCACTATATTGCCCTTTGCATACCTAGACAAAAATATACCCATCTTCTACTGCATATGCTGGGGATGAAAATATTAAAATTTCGCAAAGTCCTTACTGATTTCTGTAAACTTCCACCCAAATTCGTACGTGAACCTCCATAGTTAGTGAGGAAACCCTCAACCTCAGCCCCTTAGAAAAGCAAACAACTATTCCAACACTCCTCCCAT